AATAAATGTTAAGTGGTAAGATGCCTTGGAAGGGACATGATGGCATCCTTCGTCACACTCACTGTGATTCACCTTGTGCCATTTGAAAGAGAAAACATGGGGAGAATCTGGGCTCACCTGTGTTAGCTCCTGGGATCTGACACAAGAAGAAAGAGTGGCTCTAGCCTGTCTTCTGGGACCAGGGAGATAGTACAGTGCTCAGGGTACAGGCCTTGCATGCCCCGGGCCGGGGGTCACTCCCTGGCCCCAAGCATCACTAGGTGTGGTCTGGTGACCCCCAGCACTGCAGGGCCCGAGAAGTTCCACATTCTCAGGTTCCAGCCCTGAATCCCAGCCGGGTTTGCCACCCGGTACTGGCACTGGCTCCCCTTGGGAGGTCTTCCCCAAATTAAAAAAAATACACCTAAGTCAATGTATCCTTCTGAGTTCTGGGTTCAGCGGCTCTCTTATTTGGGACCCCCAGAGTGCAAGGGTCTGGCAACAACCGCAGTTAAAGTGGGCAGCTTCCTCCCCCTCCCCTATAAACCCCTCAGCCAAGGAGTGTGAGACCCCTGGTCCATCAGAGCATCAGCCAAAGGAAGGGAAGGAGATCCAGCTTTCTCTCTGTGGCAGTTAAAGAGATCAAGCAGGGAGTTCTGCCTCCATCCCACCACAGCTGCCCAGGGCCCCCCGCAGGACCCCCTCATTGACTTCTCTGTCCCTATGTCCATCTCTCCCATGAACCATGAACTTGACAGTGAGCGGGGCGGAGCCTTGTCAGTCAGCACTGAAGACTCTTCTGCTTATTGTGATCCCTGGGTCTCCAGACACCTTCTCACCAAAAAAGTGCCTCAGGATGGCCAGTTCCAAGAGAGTTGGTCTTTTAGAAAGCATCATGCTGAAAGTAGACTATGGACCAACATGATGGCCGCTTAGTACCTGTATTGCAAACCATGACACCCCAAAAGAAGAGAGTAAAGGAATGTGAGTGCCATAGAGGCAGGGGGTGTTGAAGGGGTGGGGGTGGCGGGAGGGATACTGGGAACATTGGTGGTAGAGAATGGGCACCAGTGGAGGGATGGGTACCTGAACATTGTATGACTGAAAGTAATCACGAAAGTTTGTAAGTCTGTAACTGTATCTCACAGTGATTCATTAAAATAAAATTTTAAAAAAATAAATAAAAAGTGCTGTAAGCTTGCACTATTCCAACGGAATGTGCTGGAGACCAGACCCAGGTGAATAGGGTCAAAGCAGGGCCACCTCAAAGGACTAAGAAAAATGAGAGACAGAAATAAAAGACTCCATGTGAGGTCAGGGGGCTGACAGCCTCGTGGACCAACTGTCCTGCACGGTCAGTATCTATGGCTTAGAACCAGGGGTCCTTAGAAGAACAGCAACATTTTTGGTCAATGGCCTAACTCTCTTAATCTATCCGGTGGGATAAACTTTTTATACATTCAGGGCCTCAGTATATCGGGACAAACATCCTTATAATGGGCTTATCTCAAGGGCTGTTTCCTCTGGGAGAAAGAGCAGAGACAGCAGATGGGCAGCTGGCCTGTGTGGCTTTCTACTGGACTGCTGGTTCTCCAGATATCGAGTTCCTGTTATCAGCCTGTTCTGCCTTTCTGATGATTCTAGCAGTCTCAATCCTTGGTTCCCAGCAGGGATGGACTGGTCTAAAGCCTCTGTTGGGGGCTGGTGAGATAGCACAGGGGTTAAAGCAATTTGCCTTGCACACAGCCAACCCAGCTCCGCATGTGGTCCCCTGACCTCTGCCAGGAGTGATCTCTGAGCGCAGAACCCTGAGCACCATGGGGTGTGAACCCAAATCCCACCATGAATAATAAAAACTATGAAGCTTCATTGGATCTGCTGGAAATCCCACCCCCAACAGTTTCTCAGAACTACATTTCCATGAGTTGCTGGCAGACTTTCAACAGGGAAAAGGCCCCAGAAGTTTCTTTTCTGCAGAGTGGACAGCCAGAATCATAGGAGGTCCACAGCACCCCCCCACCTCCGCACCTGTGCCTAGACACCCCCAAAGCAGCACAGTCGAAAAGTTTACAAGAAACCCGGCAATGTTTGTCCTGTGCTGGACACCAGGCAAATGACCGGCCATGGATTCTCCCTGTGATTCCACTGCTCAAGATTGAGACCTTGAACCTCAGCTGGACACTTTCAACAGTGGCACATCCCTGGGTTCTGGGTTCTCAGTGGCAGGGTTCATGTGAAAATTGGGGTGGAAAGATCATAAGGGAGATGGTTCCCCCTCGACCCTGCGGTGTGGGGCTTTGTGCAGTGCCCAACAAGCACACACAGCCCATGAGAAAGTGACCAGTGATTTAAGAATGAAAACAAAACAAAACAAAACAAAACTGCCTATGCATTGTGCGGTGCAGTTGCCAAGTTGTAGAACGTAAATATTTACAGAGCTGTTCCACTCTCACGACTTGGTCAGTGAACCCTCTCGGCATTTCCTCTGGCCTAAGAAGGTAGTACAGTCATGCCCGAGGTGGACACCATGAACCCACAGAGTGTGGGAAGTTCTCCAGGAGGTGACAGGCAATTCCCCTTTGTCTCTCCTCGGTTGGGGAGACTCAGCTCGGGAACTGACTGTGCTGCCCTCCCTGAGTCTCATGTCCAGAATTGGCTCAGTCACGGCTTAGATCTGCTCCTGCCTCAAGAATCCAGGAGCTGCAAAACGATTGAACCCCTCTTCCCCCTCTAACCCCCTTGAACCGGTTTCTGTTTAGCAAAAAGAAAAAAAATGCCTCCACTTGTGAGCCAGCATTGGGGTTTTGTTTATTTCAAACTCAGAATGGCCTGAGTCTCCATCCGGTCCCTGACGGCTGGTGATTGCCAGAAAAAAGAACAATTGCTCTGAAGCGATGCTTATTATTTGCGGGAGAGTGCCTCCCAGCCCTTAAGTTGTTTGTAAATATTCTGGATCTGTAAAGTTCCCCACGTAGCTATTGGGAGAAGAGGGGACCAAAACAACTTGGGGGCTGGAGCAATAGGACCAGCAGGTAAGGCATTTTCCTCACACACAGCCAACCCAGGTTCTATTCCCGGCACCCCAGGTGGTCCCCAAGCCCCACCAGGAGTGATTCCTCGGCACAGAGTCAGGAGTAAACCCTGAACCCCACTGGGTGTGGCTCAAAACAATAAAATGAAATGAAATGAAATAAACAACTTTGTCTGGACCGTCATACCAGGAAAGAGCAGACTCCGGAGTGAACTTTCCAGAGACACTTGATGTTATCGCTCTCTGGGACCATTTATTCACGCGGACAATTTCCCTCAAGTGGAATGACCCGCCCTTGCCCATGACTGGGCCCCCTCTCACTGCAGGCATTCAGGCGCCCAGGGTGTGGAAGATGACCTTCCCGTCCCAAGCTGGAACTCTGAAAAGGAGACCTCTGAGGGGACAGCCAGGAAGAACACTGAATCATATCCAGCCCTCCTGAGTGCACGCACCACACACACACACACACACACACACACACACACACACACACACACACGGAGGGAGAAGCCGTACAGATAGCAGGAGCAGGGACAGTGTGAGGGGAAGGAAGGAGGAAGAGCTCCTGAGGAAGGCCAGGGAGTCCAAATTGCATGCTCAGCTCTTGTGCTGGTCTTTGGATCCTGAACCAGGCAAGAAGCTTGGTTTCTGCCTCTGCTGTGGCCGCCCTAGTGCCCGCACGGCTCCAGGTTCCGTGGGGGAGCTCCATGATGCTTTGCAAGTTGGGACAGGATGGGGGGCTAGGTAGGGGGGGCATCATCACAGAAGAATGGGGGTCAGAGGTCAGTGCCTCGAAGGGGGGAGAGAAGGGCCCAGCAGGGATTGTGGGGCCAGGAGGTCATCCCTCATAGCCTGTCCAGGCTGTGCCAGCATCCAAAGCCCTGTGCTGTGGGGGTGGGAGTGGCTGAGGGGGGTCAGACACTGTGCACCCCAGGACATCTGTCTGAGAGCCATGGCTGAGCCTCAATGCTCTCCTGGGACTGTGTCCTTATGCCCTGCACCACCTGTATTCCTGGCTTAGCCCCATGAACCATGCAAGTATCTGCCCTGATCTCTGCCCCTGACTTCAGCTTGTCCAGTGCATGTACACATACACACACACACACACACACACACACAAGTGCACACGCGCACCCACACACAAACATATACACCATATACACCATATTCCACACACATACACAGCACACACATACACACACTACATATACATAACACATGCTATATACACACTCATGCACATACACACGTAAGACACCTACCCATGCCACACACATACATGTCCCACACATCACAGACCATGTATGTATACATACTATATACACCATATGCATACACACTTGCATCCATGCACCATACTCACACACACACATCATCTACACAGACACACACACGCTTGCACCACACACACAGACACACACAATGCACACTCCCTGCATTCCTGCCCTCCCCTCACTGGAGCCCTTGAGCTAAAACTCTGCCCCCCTTTCCTCCACACACATACACAAACACACAAAGCCCTGGAGACTCTCCAGGGGATGTTCCCCAGGAGTCAGGTTGGGCCGTTTCCCTCGCCCCTCTTCTGCTGTGCCCCCCTTGAGATCTCCCCAGTGAACACCCATCTGTCTTGGGATGTCTTTTGTGGGGAGCCTTGCTCAGGAACTGCTGCTGGTTCTGTGCTCAGGGGTCACTCCTGGGGTGCAGGGATGGACTGAGGTGTCCCTTGTGCAGAGCGTATGCTCAGCCCTTGACTCTCAGTGGCCCCTTGAATGCCTAAAGGAGATGCCGTTCTCCCACCCCTGCTCAGAACCTCCAGGAGTCTCGCCATCCCCACTCGAAGGCCCCGCCTCCCCAGGAGCCTTCAGCCAAAGGCCATGTCTTCCATTTCTTGGGAAAAGCCAGGGACGTCCAGATCACTCCATGGAGCCCAGGAGGCCTTGGCTGGTTGCACACTGGCCCGTGGCCCTCATGCCCTGCTCCTCCCACACAGATCAAGGTGGAAAACCAGCATGACTACCTGGACATCACCAGCATCGTGGCCATGGCCAAGACCTACGCCACCACTGAGGCCTTCATTGACTCCAAGTACGACATCCGCATCCAGAAAATCGGATCCAACTACAAGGCCTACATGTAAGTGGGCAGGGAGAAGGTGGGAGGAATGAGGTCGGGTGGAAGGCCCAGTGCCCCATCTCCTCCTCCAGGGCAGTGAGTGACCCTGCAGTCACCATATCCCCTCCTCCTTTGCCTTCCCTAGTCAGGATGGCCTGGGGTTAATGTCCCATCATGCTAATCCCAGGGTAGAAGTCCATCTACCTGAACTAGGATTTGAGACACTTGGTGTGTTTACAGGAATTTCCACTGCATAGAGATTCTAGGTCATTGGTGATAAGAAGGAAAAGAAACTTGGGGACAAGTCAAGGAGGGCCTTGAATGCCTGGCTTGAGGGTTTGGGGTGTTCTTTGGCTCTCTTTGGAGCAGGAAATCTGCAGGATATATTTGTAAACAGATGAGTCTAGACCCACCAGCAGCAAATGGACTTCTCCCAAACCCATCAGAACAGTGAGAAGATCACTAAGGATTTCCCCCATAGCAAGCAGTTCCATCTAAGGTTTTCTTTAAAGGAACTGGTTAGGAAACCATGGATGATCCCAAGCTTCCAAAACCAAACAAACCCACTCAACTCTCCATTCCAGAAATAGTAGGCTACAAGACAGCCTCAAGAATCTGAGTAACCAGCAGGAGGAGTCAACGTTCACAGCTCACGGAAAGTAAATCTGAGCATTTCCAGGGCTTCCCTCCAGACTGGGAAGCCTTGGAGTCTGTCCATCTCGAGTCACACGCTTAGAGTTAGAGAAAAGAACGGAAGCCGATATGGAGAGTTTCACACACACCCCTCCCCCCGACACACACACACACCAAGGCAGCCTGCGCGATGCACAGGGCAAAGTCGAGGTGTCATGACTAAAAGAGAAGGAATGAATCCAACCACATTCACCCTGGGGAGAGAAAGTGAGTCAGGGCCCCGCTTTGGTCACAGGGATGAGTGGACAGTCCAAAACAGAAGGGCCACCTCGGTCTCTGGTGAAGGCCTCATCAGTGCTCACGCCTGTCCATTTCCCACCAAGAAGTCTTGCTGTGGGGTCCACGTTAGATGGGGAGATAGCGAGTAAGGCCTCTGGTGCCAGGTGCAGTGGCACTGAGCCTCTGCATGGCGCCATGTTGGAGCCCTTCCAGGCAGGCGCTTGCCTGGGAAAATCCCTCCGTGTACTCCTGGGGGCAGAACTCGTGCTCTGGGTCAGGGTCAGCTAACCACAGCCCACAGGGAACCCATGCAGCTGCCTCCAGTTCCTATAAATAGAGACTTCTTGCCCTCAGCCATGCACATTCATGTGTGTGATATTCAGGGGTACTTTGGTATCATCTAGGGGTACTTTTGTACCGTCGAGATTGCCTAGACAAGGAATCCACAAATGATTTTCGTCCAAGGGAGCCATTCGTCTTAGGCTTTGATACTCTCCACTGGACGAAGAGCAGGCCGGTGACCTCTAAGGAAATAACCCCAGTATAGGAATAAAGTCACCTCCTAAGGAATGCTTCCGCCCTGGCTGGCCAGCCAGCCTCTAGCACCCAGGAGCCAGGCCAGCCCTGTGTCTGCTCACATATCCTTGGGGTGACTCGCTCACCTCCTCCCTGCCCACTCCAAGATCAGGAACATTCCAGGGTGTCCCTGAGAACTTCCTCCACAACCAGCCACTTCCCACCGTTCCTCATTGGTAGAAGTTCCCACTCTGACATTGACACCACCTTGTCCCAGATTCTCTCCTGCAGGATTACCTCATTGCTGCATTCTTTAGGAGGCGCCTCTCTGCCCTGACAGCTCCAATTTGTCATTAGTTATGGCCTTTCCTGGACACTGGGTTGGCGCACATCCGAGGGCTGAGGTTCGTGTCAAGCCTCAGCAGAGCTCGGCCATGCCACCCCGGCCGCTCACCCTCCTCTCTGGACCACTTCCTGCCCTGCACGCAGGCCTTTGTGCTGGTTGCTAGGGGCTGTCATCGTGTCTAAGGCCTCTTGGCAGACAGAGCTGGGAAATGTGTGTGGATCTGAACCCGCACATACCCCATCACGTCTATATTTATCCGAAGCTAAGTAGACTTCGTATTGACGTTCTCACCCCCCATCGACGAGCGTGTGATTCATGGGAGCCATCCCAGGTTGCTTATCGCTAACCTCCCAGCCCTGCAGGGAAGAATTCAGGTCCTACTGTCCATCAGCCACTTCTTTAGTGTTCTGTCCCAGTATAGTCACGGGGGACCAAGGTGCTTGTGAACCTGGGGGCGGCCCCTGGCCAAGCACAGTGCAGAGTTCAAGTGCAACTTCTGTACTCGGGGCCTTGGTCCTTCCCAAACCCTTTCCCTTCCACGTTCTTCAGCAAGGCGTCAACACTACATGGGTGATATCAGAAGGTTCTTTCATGGCCCTCTACCTTCCCTCCCACTTCCCAGGAATGCATCCCATTTAGCCAATCGTCTTCCCAGACCTGCATCCCATTTGGCCAATCAGTTCTTTCCCCAAACCCATGATAGACTCACCATGGAGTTCCTGGTTCAGAGGCTCAAGTTTCCCAGATGGTGTGGTTTGGTGGAGGCAGCCAGTGAGCAGGAACGACAGGGAGAATGATGCCTAACTGGTGAGGCGGACAGAACTTTCTGCTCCTAAAGCTGTTAGATGTCAGCTCTCGCCACCATCATCTCTTGGAAGGAGAGCAAAGTGGCTGTGTTTCTGCTGCTCTAGACATTGGGAGGAGAAGAACTTGTCTTCTAGCAAAATGATGGTAGCATCTTACTAAGCGACCTAGGCAACAATTTTCTTTTCTGCACCCGCAGCAGTTACAGAGTCTCTTTCCCACATCTCAGGTCCATCCTACTGGCCCTTTGGGAGGACACCTGTGGCAGAAATTTCTAGTTCCCAGTTCACCCTTTGGCTTTGACCATATGCCCTTCCTGAGCCATCAGAGTCTCCCTCTTCTGAATCTCATTTGGTCTTTGCTGAGGTCAGAGGTGCCCATGGAGACAGGCTGGGTCCTTCCCTGGATACTCAGTTCCTTACCTGGTAGGAAGCGAATGAGCCCAGTGGCATGTCATATGCCGCAAAGGAGTCCCATGTGTCCCCTTCCCTAGGTCCGAGTAAAGCAGGCAGCCTGCTGGGCAGTGGCTGGGGTGCCAGGGAGGGTCCTGCTTTTGCTGGGAGCCAGGGGGGCTACCATGTAACAGAGCAGACAGAGAGGGGAGGCAAAGATGGAGACAAAACAGCAGAGGGGCCCAAGAGGGACCGTGCGTGGGGCCAGCACCAGAGGAAAGTGCACGTACAAACTCAGAAGGCGCGGGGACACAGGTCCAGGAAACACACAACAACCAAGTGGGCTGGCGGCCTGCTGCTCTAAAGGAAAGAAAACGCGTGTTTCCAACGGATCCTCTCTCCTCCCCTCAGTCCTCAGAGCTTTCTAGAAGCATCAGCCTTCTACTGCCCTGATTCCCCTTCTCAAAACCAGCAGATCGAGGTTCTTTGCAGGGATCTTGGGGAGCTGGAGGACCGGAGCCGCAGTTCGATCTTCACTTTGATTTGAATGGCATGCTTGCATGTCGGGGGTGGCTTGGGAAAAGATAAACAGAAGCCAAGGAATCAACTAGGGGCTGGGCCTAGCAGGGAGGAGCGGCAAAGCCCCTTTCCTAGGAAGCGTCTCTCGAAGGACGTTCTGGGCCGGGTACTGCCTCTTGCAACTGGGGCTTCTTAGCAGCCAGAGAGGAAAGCAGAGTGGTGAGAGGGGGCCCCCAACGCCCGCCGCGTGTCCTGTGTTCTGACGCAGGAGAACCTCCATTTCCGGAAACTGGAAGGCCAACACCGGTTCCGCCATGCTCGAGCAGGTGGCCATGACCGAGAGGTGAGAGACGGCAGGGGGCTGGGGGGGGGGGGGGGGGGCGCTAGAGAGGGAGGCACAGGGGTCTGGAAAGGGCACAGGGGTCAGGGGGTCGACAGGGCTGGGCCTCTAGACCTGGTGGCTTTTGCTCCCTCTCTGGTCAGTTTGCTTTTGGGGGCGTGTGGGGGGACAGAGTGCTCAGCCACCGGCCACAAGCTCTGGTGGTGTCCGCAGGCCTCCTGGCTTTGCACGGGGCTCTGAGGGTGCTGCGTCTGCTGGGCTCAGGTGCTGAGGAAGCCTGGGAGGGAGTGCTGGAGCCCTTGCAGAAGGGAAATGGACAGGGAGGCCTCCGGAGAGGACAGATATGCTCTCCTCATGGTCCTGGGGCTCAGATCCCTCTGCCCTCCTCCCCACCTTCCCCCTGAAGCCGTGCCTCCACTGTCTGTCTCTGCCTTCCCGTCTGAGTCCCCACCCCCACCCCCGGTCTGGATTCCTGTCTCTCTCCACATCTGACCCCCATCTGTCTGCTTGCACCCCGGTCCAGCATGTTGCTGTCTGTGCCCCCCCACATCTCTCCAGCCCACCCCCCCCCGTGTCCTCCTTCTCCCTGCCTCCCCTACCCCAGCTCAATGACCACTGTCGCCCCGCAGGTACAGGCTGTGGGTGGACAGCTGCTCTGAGATGTTCGGTGGCCTGGACATCTGCGCCGTCAAAGCCGTCCACAGCAAGGACGGCCGAGACTTCATCATCGAGGTAAGGAACGCCGGCCGTGCCCGGGGAAGCCCCTTCACAGGATCCAGGGGATGGCTCTCTGCAGGGCCTGCGGGGCTTGGCACCCCTCTCCAATAGCTTCCAGAACTTTCCAGAACACCTCCCCACCCCTACCCACAGTGATCTCTAAACACCCCCTGCTGGAGTTGGGGGGTGGGGGCAACTCAGGAACCCCAGCATGAGGTGTGACAATCTGCTGGGGCTGGAACCAAGAGCAACAAAGACACATGTGTGCACATGTATCTACATGTATTTGTGCATGCCAGGTATGCATGTGTACATGAGTGTACATGTGTGCATGTGTGCATATACATGTATTTGTACATGCAGGTGTGCATGTGTGTATATGTGTGTATGTACATGTGCGCACATATTTGTGCATGCAGGTGTGCATGTGTATGTGTGTTTATATGTATCTGTGCATGTGTGTATGTATGTGCACGTGTGTCCTTGTGTGCATGTGTGTATGTGGATGTGTGTACATGCACGCATGTATTTGTGCATGTAGGTGTACATGTGTGCGTGTATCTATAGATGCAGGTGTGCATGTGTGGATATGTGCATGTGTGTTTGTACGTGCATGTAGGTGTGCATGTGCACATGTGTGCATGTATCTGTGTGTGCGTGCGTGTGCGTGTGAGTGCAAGTGTGCGTGTATTTGTGCCTGCAGGTGTACATTCACGTGTGCCTCTGTATACATGCGTGCATATGCACATGTGGGCTGGGCTCCAGCAGTGGCCTTTGAGGTGGGGCGGCAGTGTTGGGGTGCAGGCTGGCAGCGGCTGGGCCAGAGCAACCCTCTGGAGGTGGAGGCAGGGCTGTGAATGGGGAAGGTGTGAGGAAGCTGGGGGGAGCAGGGCCCCTCCCCCTCCCCGCCACCCAGGCCAGGCAACACAGGGGACCTCTGGTGTCTGACTCCACACTCATGCCCCTGCCAGTCTCTCTCCTGCACCCACAACCAGCGGCCCCCTCCTCTTCACAAGTCCCCTGGCCTGCCCCAGAGCTTCTGCCTAGAGAGATGAAGGGTCAGCAGGGAAGGATTCGGGGGCTCCCTCCCCCATCAGACCCCCTTCCCCTAGCCATCAACCCCTTCCCATCCCCCCTCAAACTCCCCTTCCCCTTCCCCATCAGCCCCTCCCCCCCATCAGATCCTCTTACCCTCCCCCATCACCCCCTTCCCCTCCCCCATCGCATCAGCCCTTCTCCCTCTTCCCAGAGCACCTCCCTCCCCCAGCCCCCTAGCCCCACCCTCACCCAGGGCCCAGACAGTCATAAGGCTGAGGTGAAAGACCTTTCACATAAAAGCAAAACAAAACAGGGAAATTAGTAGGTTTGGAGTGGAGGAAAACGGCCTCTGCAGAGATCCCCATGAGGAGACAGAGTGTCCGCCTGTCGCAGCCTTGTCCCCTCAGAGACATCGCCCCCTTGTTTCCCTGGCTTCAAGCTTGGGGGAGGAGGTCCCGGGAGCCAGGGAGCTGGTGTCCAGGAGAGAGAAAGTGTTCCCTGGGGTGGAAAGAAGAGGCCCTGGATCCCCAACATCGGCCCTCACCCCTGCCCCTGGGGGTGAGAACATGACGTTTGTGGAGCTCTGAGCCCTCAGGGAAAGCCTGGAATGTGCCCCGGGGCCTGTCCAGGGAACACTCTGCTCCCTGGAACCTCAGTTCCCGGGGAGGGGGCGGGGGGAAATCGACCATGTGTCCACTTCCTCAGGAAGGGGCTCCCACCACCCGGAATGCAGGAAGTGAAGTGGGATGCAGCGGGCGCATGGCGAGTAGAGTGGGACCCCAGGAGCCCCCTCTGAGCTCAGCCCCAAGGACCCCGCATCCACACCCCACATCTGCTCTTCTGCATCCTGACCATGGTGGGCTCTTTCGACTTGGTCCCAAACCAGCCGGTTGGACGTGTCCCCCTGGGCTCCGGGCTGAGGAAGGGATGCACAGACACGGAGGGAGGTACCCACACTTGCATCCGCACAGGGGATGTCGCAGAGCTGGGGCTCATGATCCCACCAGGCCAGCCGGCTAGGGGGAGACTCGAGGCTCCCAGCCCTGCCTGAGGGCCTTTCAGGGGCTGCCTGGGTCGGCACTCAGAGGTGCTCAGGAAAGCAAAGCCCTGTGTGAGTGCTGCCAAGTGGCCTGGGTGCTTCCCCCGCTGCAGGAGGCCAAGGAGGGCGTCGCATGGCCGGACTCAAGGCCCTGCAGGCTGCTTGAGGGGACCCACTAACCCACTGGGCAATGCTGTGGGCTGAGGTGGGCGGCAGAGAGTAGCCAGGTGGCCATAGAGTGGGGATGGAGGAGCTGAGATGAGGGGATGGGGCAGGGCTGGCTGGGAGAAGGAGCGAGAGGCCCCCCACAAGGCCTCCCAGCTCCCTGGGCCTGGGGACAGCCTCCCTGGATGGCCTGCCTGGCTTGAGGCAAGTGGCCACTAATAGTTGGTCCTTGGCTTAACCGTCTGAGGCCGCGTGGACATGATGGCTCAGGTCCTTCAACAACCTGTGGTCGGAGGAGGGGGCACTCCAAGGGTTTGTTTTGGGGAGCCCCTGCAGAAGGAGGCTGTCCTGTCCTCTCCTTCTGGACCGCCCCAGTTCATGTCCCTCCTCTGCCTTTCTTTCTGTGTCTCTCTGTGTCTCTGTGTCTCTCTGTCTCTGTCTTTCTCTCTGTGTCTGTCTGTCTCTGTCTTTCTCTCTGACTCTCTTTATCTCTCTTTGTTTCTCTGTCTCTGTCTCTGTCTTTCTCTGTGTCTCTCTGTCTCTCTGTGTCTCTCTGTATCTCTCTGTCTCTCTGTGTCTCTCTGTATCTCTCTGTCTCTCTCTGTCTCTGTCTCTCTCTGTCTCTGTCTCTCTACTCTCTCTCTGTCTCTCTCTCTTTCTCTGTCTCTCTTCCTCTCTGTGTGTCTCTGTCTCTCCTCTGTGTGTCTCTCTGTGTGTCTCTGTGTGTCTCTTTCTATGTGTGTCTGTCTCTCTGTCTGCCTCTGTATCTCTCTCCCTTCTCTGTCTTTCTCTTTCTGTGTCTCTCTGTTTCTCTTTATGTGTGTCTCTGTCTCTTTTCTATCTCTCCTCTGTCTCTTGGTCTTTTGCTATGTGTGTGTATGTGTGTCTGTCGGTCTCTCAGTCTCTGTCTCTGTATTTCTCTTTCATTTGGGGGCCCTGCCCAGCAATGCTCAGGCTTGTACCTGGCCTATGTTCAGGAATCATTCCTGAAGGTGCGTTAGGGACCACATGTGATGCTGGGCATTGCACCCAGGTTAGCCCTATGCAAGGAAAGTACCTTCACCCCTCTACCATCTCTCTGGCCCTGGACCTTGTGTCTCTTGGTTGTATCTGGTGAAACACCTAGGCCAGGTTTGGCAGCTTCCTAGCTTGCAGGAATCAGGGCATTAGTTTGGCCTCTCTGTGACTCAGTCGTTCTCTTTGTTGGATGAGAGGAATACCTTAGCAAGTTATAGCTAAGCAGGGGTGTATTGAACGAGACTGAAGCTTAAGCAAGGCTGAAAGTTGGCTAATTAGTAGGCAGGTATATCGTACCATGAGTACAGACGGAGGTGCAAAGGGCCTGTGGCAGAGACAAGATGAGGAGGAAGAGGAGTGCTACCGGTGGGAGAGTGGACAGCAGGTGAACTGTGGCGGGGGCTCATTTCTTTCTTCCTGCCTTCTTCCCTTCCTCCCCATCTTTGTTGTTTCCGATTTTGCAGAAAACCTTGATGAGTTGGGGCTAGAGTTCCTACTAGCCCCAACCCTGGGAGGGAGCAAGCGCAAGCGCAGGAAAGGCCGGCCAGGCCACGGGGCCTCAGTGGGTCCCATGGCTGGAGGTCCGGGTGGATTCACAGTGATGGACCTGGATCCTGACTCTTCCTGCCTGTTTCCGCGCAGCCGGGATGTGGCCGGTGTCCGCCGAGCAGTCCGGCCAGGATTTGGTGGCGCGCAGCGCCATCTAGCGGCCACATCCGTCGGGCGCTCTCAGGCCTCCTCTGTCCCCCGCAGGTGATGGACAGCTCGATGCCCCTGATCGGGGAGCACGTGGAGGAGGACAGACAGCTGATAGCCGACCTTGTTGTCTCCAGAATGGGCCAACTCCTGGTGCCCGGGGGCACCGTGCCCTCGCCCCTGAGGCCGTGGGTAAGGTCCTGGAGAGCCCAGGAGATTTGGGGGCCACGAGGAACGCGGGCCTTCTGGGAATGCGGAGCCCCTGCGCCAAAGGAGGCACCCCCGGAAGGACGGTCCTTGGGGGAAAGAAATGGAGGGTATCCCCCAGCAAGGTGGGCTGGGGAGACCTCGGCTGGCTCAGGGTGTCTCAGGAGGGGTTGGCCCTTCTGAGCCCTCCATCCTGGGAGTACCCCAGGCCCGTGGACACTGCCTCTGTGGGCTCCTAGGATGCCCATCAATAGGCCAGTGTGTCTTTGTTTCCCCTCCCCCCAGCTTCACAGCGCCCCCCTCCCCCCTTGACCCTTTCCAGAACCATCCTCACCAGGAAGCCCCTTCTGCAGAGAATTGGCACATTCCTCTCACCCAGTTTGGAACCCTGCGTGCACTCCACCTTCACCCCTGCAGAAAAAACGTGAATCAGTGACAGACGTGAGCACGAGGCCAGCTGCCAGAGTCAGCCTCCTCCCGGGATACAGCGTGTCCCCAGGGGGACAACACAGACACCCACACAGGCGGAGATGTGTCGCCTATAAGATCTGTGCACTTGAGGGTCCGGAGCAATATAGTTCAGCGAGGAGGGCAAGTGCCTTCGATGCATTCGACCCGGGTTCAGTCCCCAGCATCCCACATGATCCCCCGAGTCCTGCCAGGGTTGACCCTGAGTACAGAGCCAGGCGTAAGCCCTGAGCACCACCAGGTGTGACCCCAAAACAACAGAAGATTTGTTGTCTCACTAACCGGGGGCCCTACAGATCCCGCCCCCCACCAGGAAAGATGACACCTCCCTGCACCCCTCTTCTCTTCTGATCCAGGCTCCACAGAGTAAACCAGCAAAGTCCCCGCTTGGACAGTCCCAGCCTCGCCCACCCACACAAGGTAGGACCCCCACCAGCCATGGGGCCAGGCTTGTCCACGCGCGTCTGGGAGAAAATCCAGTTTAATCCTTGCCCCGCTGCTCGGCCTTGTGTTTTCCGGCTCTAAGCACCGCAGGGCACCATCAGGAAGATGGGAGGGAGGGAGGGCTGCGAAGGCCCCCGTGACCTAGATGCCTGCTGGGGGGGTGGGGGGCTGGGGGCTTACCCCTCGCTGTTCTCATTTTAAACCCCCAACCATTGCTCTGTGAGTGATGGCTTCAGGATTGCTCGGCCAGTCGCAGAAACCCAGCCTGGAAACAGCAGGGGTATAAGACCGGCCTTGCAGAGCTTCTAGAAAGTTCTATTTTCTAGTTGGGCATGGCACCAGGTTCTCAGACACAGGAGTCAAGTGACTGGTGTGAGAAAGAAACCTGTCTAGCGTATCACCCCGATCCTGTTGGAGGTCCTGATTCCTCCCCCAAAAGATGGTGCATCCCTTTGCAGCAAAGGGGGAAACTCCTGATGACAAAGACGACGGTGGGGACACGGCTCAAAGGACAGGGAGCAGACTGCATGTGGGAGGCCTGGGCCCCGGGCCTGACCACGCAGTGTCCACGGACCACTGTGGGGAGTGGCCCTGAGGACCTCCAGGTGTGACCCAGAAACGAAAACATAAAGAAACTGATGAAAGGGCGGTTTCCCGGGGAGGCCCGGCCATTCGCCAGTTCCCAGCTCCCACACACAGCCCTGCGCTGCCCCAGAGCCAGGCTAGAGGGGCTCATCTTAGTCTCGGGGAATGGTGCCAAGAGCGAGGGGACACGCAGCCCCTTCCCCACCATCTGCTTCAAACCCTTCAGGAAGCCAGTGACTCCCCATCAGCCCTGGACTCTACCAGAGAAGCAGACACCCCGCATGGCTTCCTCTCCCCAGAACCTCAGGGTCATGCCCACCTCCCTCCCCACCCCTTCCTGCTGAGCATCTCTTCTCGGAAGAGGAAGGGGAGCCCTGTGCCCTCACCAATGGGGCCTGGCCTCGGGGTCTCTCCCAACAGATCCAGCGGTTGTGTGCCTCGTGCCCTATCTTGGTGGTCTTAGGCATGTCCCGGCACCTCTCCGGGCCTCAGTTTCTCCAGTGACAAAGGGAGAAAAGAAGAGTTCTGGGGGCTGTTTGTGAAATGCTCTAGGTGACATGCTTAGCAAAGAGGCTGTAAAGGAGTCCCCTGCAGGCCGTGGCTCTTCGCGCTGCTAAGTTACTAGAAAGGGTCAGGCCAGTAGCTCAAAGCGGCCCACGACATGGAGCTTGTAGCCCGAGGCCCTGAGTTGGATCCCCAACACTGAATCCCCTCCCCAGCATTGCCTCCCAGGGACGCTCCTATTTTTCACAAAAATAGCAATGATTGTTGTTCATAGCTATTCTGTGGCTCTTACCGTTAAGTTAGAAACGGGTGTCTTACTCACCATCATAATAGATGTGGTGTTCTTAATGAAGACTAGCCCTCCTGCCTGGCAATAATTCTGTAATTATATTGGTTCAAAATGACTTATTCATCCCCCTGCCAGACTCCTGGCGGGGCCGCTGCCCTCCCCGCAGCTTTCCCACTCTGTCCCCGGCTTACTCTTTAAAACACATTTGAACAGAACACTTTCCGAACAAGAGCGCCACTGTATCCAGCTTCCTCTCCTGCCCAGAGCAAGAGGTGCTTGATACAGAGAGATTATTTTAAGGGACATGAGGCTAAACACCCATTTGGGGAGTTGAAAAACAATCCATTTTAAACCAATTAAGATCATTAAAGAAAATGCCCACTGAATTAACATTCAGATTAAAAATAACAAGGCTAATTAGAAAACAATGCTGCCATTGAGTTTCCAAAATAACAAGATCACATTTTTTAGCTCAGAGTGCTTGTTTTCAACCCCAGTGAAAGTCAAGTTTTCTTCTAATGAACCTCCCTGTTTCTTAGCAGCCTTCTGCACTTAGACAAACATTTAATTTTTTTTAATGTACATCTATATATAGATAGATATGTAAGTGAATTTTTTTTTTTGCTTTTTGAGTCACACCCGGCAATGCACAGGGGGTTACTCCTGGCTCATGCACTCAGGAATTACTCCTGGCGGTGCTCAGAGGACCATATGGGATGCTGGGAATCGAACCCGGGTCGGCCGCGTGCAAGGCAAACGCCCTACCCGCTGCGCTATCGTTCCAGCCCCAAGTGAACTTTCTTTGATGCCTCAAAAAATAGCAAGTGGTTTGCTTGGCAGAATTCAAATAACAACAATGTCTCCCGAAAAATCCAATTGTATGAACGCAACTCAAGTAGTGATAAATAAATAAACAAGTGTCCCATTTTCTAAGATATAGTCTTAGAAGGTGAGGGGCTGTGGGAATAACAGAAGTAGCAAACAGATGTCCTCTCTGGCCGGCAGTGAGATCAGAACCCCAAGGAGTAAACCAGGGTTTAAAACTCAGGAGGAGTTTGGCAGTGAATGGGGTGAATCCCCTAAACATAGAGTTGTTAGAATACAGTCCTGAAATTCTGCAATATTGTAAACTAATGAGAAATCTATTTTTCAATTTAAAAAAAAAAAGTAAGAAGTATGAAAGAGAAGCTTCTAGAATCAATGGGCCAGTGTTCCCAGTAATCTACTGTCAGCTGTCCTATCAGTGTAACTGTCAGCTGAATTTAGTAATCACTAATTGCTCCTGGAAGGACACTCCCCTCTCCTTTTGCCGCAAGCCCCACTACTCCCAGCTGTCTACAGAGACACCAAATTTCTTTTCCTTTTTTTGTTTTAATGTGTGGGCCACACGAGACAGTGCTCAGGGGTCCATTCTGTGCTGGGACAATGGACCCAAGGGCTCCTGTACGCAGAGCACATGCTCCAAACCGTTGTGCTCTCTCTCCTTCCCCCAACAGCTGTTTTTTCCTTCATGGTGGCACCTCTTTGGAGACATGATTCTCTGAACTGTGTTTTTCTCTCAAGTGGGAAAAGATTTTAAAGCCACGAGAGCTGACTGATGCTTGCCCACTTTATTTACAGCAGGGCTTCAAGGGGCGTTTGAATTTGAGATTTGTGGACGCTCTGTTGGGCCTCAGAGTCGGGAAAGAGGCACCGGAATGAATGAAAGCTGTGTGCAGAGTGGTGCTGAGTGAGTGCTGCCGTTCTGTCCAGCTTAGAGAGGGTGTCCAGAGTCCTAGAAAGGTTTACACTCCAGGGAGGATGATTCGTGGCTCCCCAACAACCTCATGGGGAACGAGGACTTCTGAACCCTGCTCAGGGGGCACCCGTGGGATCAGGGGACCAGGGATAAGAATCAGGCCTAATCATTGCCAGGCATGCACCCCAGTCTTGCAATGCTTATGGAGAAGGGTCTGTGCTGGGGGCCAGTCCGAGTGGTACTCAGGAGACCGTAAGGTGCTGGGGATTGACTCTGGAACTTTCTTGTGCAGAGCAGATCCTCTGCTCTTTGACTCTCTTTAGCCCAATGGTCTCCTTTGCTTGCTTTTTAAATACTTTTGTGGAAATAACATTTGCATTACAACATTATGTAAGTTTCAATATGCATCTTATGTACAGTATCTGTAGCAAAGAACTAGTTTTTGTTTGGAAGATGCCAGGGATGGAACTGAGGGCTTCATACCAGCAACGCAAGCGTTCTACTGAGCTACATCCCTGGCAAAATAAGTTGTTCATTTTTTTTGTTTGGGGGGTCACACCCAGCAGTGCTCAGTAGTGCCCCCTAGTGGTGTTCATGAGACCATCAGTGGTTCTGAGAGCTGAACCTAGGGGGGCCATGTGGTCATGTAGGCACAAGGCCAGGGTCTTCCCTCTTGTCCTCTTTCTGGCACCTGTGACCAAAATGCCCAGGAGCCCAGAGAAATGAGTCCCTTCTCGCGGTCACCCGGCAAGTCCATGGCCTGGTCATGGCCAGAGTGGGTGGGGATCAGTGAGGTGCCAGGGTCTCCAGGCATCAGCTCTGGCCTCCCCAACACACAGAATCACCCCTGACTGGGAGCCACCTTCTCTGCTGTAATGAAATGAAAGATGAGCTGTCTCAGGGCAGCCCTGGAGACGGCCTCAGGTCGCGCCACACAAACAGTGCCCAGGAGGTTCAAGGGCGCCAGCAGCAGGTCTCAGCCCTCCAAGCTGGCAGTTGGTGAGGGCTAGAGGATGCAGAGCTGCTCAGCGCCCCTCTCACTGCCAGCTGCCAGCTGGGCACGCGCTGTTGGTCTCCCTCCCAGCCCCATTCCCCTTCTTCCCGATGCAGCAAAAAACCATGCATGCGTCTTGGGTGCAGAAGCCAGGGATGCACACTAGTTCTGGCCTTCCCAGACTGTTCTTGGTAACATGTTGGTCGGCACAGCATGTCCCATTTTCTGATTAATCTCCATGCCTAGCTAGGCACTGACCTGGTCTTCCGCTTTTCTCTATGATAAGAGCAACACTTGTGAACGTCCTCAAAGGGACATCTGTGGGTGGCGCGCATTCTTAGCGGCGCGCGAAACAACCCAACCGTTTCTCTCGTTCTGCAGGGGGCCCTCGCCAAGCTCAGTCTCCTCAGCCCCCGCGATCTGGAAGCCCCTCTCAACAGAGGCTCTCCCCTCAAGGCCAGCAGCCCCTGAGCCCCTCGTCGGGATCTCCGCAGCAGCGATCCCCCGGCTCCCCGCAGCTCTCCCGGGCATCAGGGGGCAGCTCTGCAAACCAGGCCTCCAAGCCAGGCTCGGCCTTGCCCTCCCAGCCCCGGCCCCCCATGCAGGGCCGCAGCACCTCCCAACAGGGGGAGGAGTCCAGGAGGTCAGCACCACCCCACCCCCATCTAAAGTGAGTGGTTTGGGGGACTGGGAGGGGAGTGGGCGGAGCTAAGTGTGGGCGGAGCCAGCGTGGGAGGAGCTAGGGGTGGGCGGGGCCATCGTGGGTGAGGCTGGTGGTGGGCAGAGCCAGGGATGGGTGGAGCTAGGTGTGGGTGGACCAGATGTGTATGCGTGTAATGGGAGGAGCTAGGTGTGGGCGGGGCCAGGTGTGGGTGGAGCTAGAGGTGGAGAGAGCCAGATGTGTGTAGTAGGTGGAGCTAGGTGTGGACGGAGCCATTTGTGTATATGCGTAGTGGGAGGAGCTAGGTGTGGGCGTGGCCAGGTGTGGGTGGAGCTAGCTATGGGCATGATTGGATGAGGTGTGGTTTGTGGGCGTGGCTTGTAAGTTTAGACTATTGTGGGCAGGGAGGTATGGCCAGAGCTTTATGGGGGCTGAATAACCTGTTGACGAGCTTTGTGGACCAGGCTGTGTGGGCCTTGGTGTTTGTTGGCAGAGCTGGGTTGATTCGGGGTCAGGGGATTCAGACCCTCAGGTTAATAACCCTATCCCAGACTCTTTAAGTTTTAGACGCCAAGCCTTTTTTTTTTTTTTTGGCTTTATGGGTCTGGGTCACACCCATCAGTGCTTAGAGGGGGATGGAGACAGAGTAGGCCTAGTGCAAGGCAAAGGTCCTACCCACTGTACTATCGCTCAGGCCCCAGTACTAAGCATTTTACCTGGTTGGGTTTTTTGGTGTTCTCAATTAAAAACTTTTTTTAATTGAAAAAAACCCTTCACCATTGTACATTTCCCACCACCAATGTCCCCGGGTTTTCCTCCCTGCACCCTCCCCACTGACCCTACCCCCCACCAAAGCCTTCCATTTTGGAGGAGGGCTGTGGTGGAGGGGGATTGAGCCACAACTGGTGATGCTCAGGAATTACTCCTGGCCGTGTTTGGAGAGGTCAGAGGACAGGTGGGTGAGGTGGGGGTCCTGGTGGTAGCTTGCAAGGCAAGTGCCTTAATCACTCTTCCCATCTCCCCAGCTGTGTTTTCAGTTATTTGAGATTTAGGGCCACACCTGGAGCTGCTCCAAATCTACTCTACATTCATTCCTGGGTTTGATCTTTGTAAAGTTTGGGGTCCATGCAGTGTCTGTGCAATGAATGCACCCAGCCCTTTGAGCATCACCAAACTCATTAACTCATTTGGAGTTTAGAGCACGATTAGCAAGAGGCTGTCCAGACAACACGAGATAGCGGTTGGCAGCAAAGACTTGAGAGTCAAGTTGCCTGGATTCAAATTCTAGCACTCCCCCTTGAAAGCTGAGTGACCTCAGAAAAATGTCTTAAGGGCTCTGGGCTTCCACTACCTCACAGACAAAATGGGACACATAGCCCTGACCCCTGGGCATCACTGTAAGGTCTCAGCTGTGTTTGTGTAGTGTGTGTGCTAAGGGTACTGCCAGCAGCGCTGGGGTACGCCCCAAGCTCAGCATCTCACTGTGAGAGCAGATGCGACCCAGCCTGGCCAGCCCCTGGCATACAGACCTCCCAATTTCCAAACGAATGCTGGAAACCATGCGGGTTTGTACATCATGAGAACATGGGGCCTCAGGATGCCTGTTTGAACAGCTTGGTCCAGTGGAAAGTAGGAGTGCTGGGTGTCCAGCATTTGCTGAGAACCCCAATTTCCATACCTAAAAAGAGTGAGACACCAGCGTCCACCTGGAGGGTGACCAGTGCCTTGTAATGCCTGGTTTCTGCTCCTCACTCCTGATGAGGAGGAGGCCCGTCCTGACTTCTAGGCCAGCCCCCAGTCACATGGTTTCCCTGGGAGTGCGGGCCACCTTGTCCCCAACGTTACCTTTCCTTTCAGCAAATCCCAGTCCCTGACCAACAGCCTCAGCACTTCAGACGCAGCCCAGCGTGGGCCCCCGAGCGAAGACGAGGCCAAGGCCGAAACCATCCGCAACCTGAGGAAGTCTTTCGCCAGCCTCTTCTCGGACTAAGAGGTCCGGGCTGGGAGTGGGGGGCCGTGGCCCTCTCCCCACTCCTGCTTCATCTTCCTCCTCAGCCTTGGTTCCGAGGCGAGCCGGATGGAGGCCTGAGAAGACCCTCAGGGACCTTCACCCAGGAAGTGCACGCGTGCCCTGCCCTCCCTCCGCCGCGCCGTTTTCAGCGCGGGCTGCCTGGGTGATGGACTTGGAGACGGGCATCCTTCGCCCTGACCCCCCTTAACCCCACCCCAGCCCCCCGTTTGCCTGCTTCCCCGCCTCAGATAACCCAGTGACGTGTCTGTGTGTGGCTAGTGTTCCCATATCCTGTCGGTGTTTTGCTTGTCTTTGAGCCGAGGCCCTTGTGCCCGGCTCCTCCTCCATCATACGCTGTCTTTGCCGTCGAACCTCAGCCATACTGGGCCGCAATAAGCTCTCCATGGTATTTGGCAACGAAAGGAGAATCAGTAGCAAGTCAGCCATTGTTTGAGGTGAAGGGTGAACCGAGGAGTCCCCAAAGCCTCCGCTTACTCCATCTCATAGCTCCGTTGGGTCCATATCTATGGGGCAGTTGCCTCGTGGCAGGGTGGGTTACACTCTCCCACTCCACTTGTCCTCTGCCCCGGGCCAGGGGCAGACACACGGAGTAGACGCTGCTGCTTGCAGTTCTGCTCTCAATACAATCTGCTAGACCCCCAGGGTTGGGTGGGAGTGGGCCAACAGCGCCACAGAGTGGGAGTTAAGAGTTTATAAGCCCATAGAAAGAACTCTGCTGGTACCTCCTCCTGTTACTACCGGTCTCTCTCTCTCTAGCATCTTCAAGAGGAAAAAGCAAGGCAGAAAGGAGATTCGGCGAACACACATGCACACAAAAATGTTCATTCCTGTATCCCATCACCTATTTTATCAGTTCAGGATTCTCTTCTTACTGGGTCTGGTGTGTGGTTTTGGAAGTCACACTCAGGATCCTGCTAGGGGGCATGCCAGAAGTGCTCAAGAAACCATGTGTGGGGCTGGAGCTATAATACAGCAGGTAGGGCGTTTGCTTTGCATGTGGCCAACCCGGGTTTGATCCCCAGCATCCCAGATGGTCTCCCGAGCACCACCAGGAGTAATTCCTGAGTGCATGGGCCTGGAGTAACCCCTGTGCAATGCCGGGTGTGACCCAAAATGCAAAAAAGAAAGAAGAAAGAAACCGTGTGGTACCAGGAATGGAACCTGGGCACCCTTGCAGGCAAAGCCTGCCCTCCAGCCTCTGAGCCATCTCCCTGGCTTTGTCACCCAGCACCGGGGTCTGTCTTAAGAGCAGACCTGCCTCTCACTTGGTCACTAATCTATGTCAATTAATGAGCCAAAGTATCGGCCTCTCAAAGACAGGCTCCACCCCTTCCTTTTCCTCTGATGATAGCAAGTGAGGTGGTCTTAGTGGAAGGACTTTGAAAACCTGACCCAGGAGGATATTAGGGTTCCCACACTTGGGGCTGGAGCAATCATACAGCAGGGAAGTTCTTGCCTTGCATACAGCTGACCATGGTTCCTGGCACCCCAAGCCCTGCCCCACCAGGAGTGATTCCTGAGTGCAGAGCCAGAAACCCTAAGCACTGCTGGGTGTGACTCAAAAACAAACAAAAATTCCAGCACCAAAACTGGTGGGGCAGGTATAAAACCATGTTTTAGGAGATTAAAACAAGAAATAGCCGAGGTGGCTGTCACTCTTCTATCTGGAGAGTGACATCAGGAGCCAACAGTCTCACCCAGCTCTCGGCAGTCAGAGCATGGAACATATCCCCGAGGCAATGGGCTGATACAGCTGCCCCAGCAGAGCCAAGGCCACAGGCAGAGCTCGCCTCACTGCCCACCGAAGGAGCCAGGATGTCTGGCGAGAAGGCCCAGACCTGTGTCCTTGGCAGTCTTTCTCGGAGCTTTGAATGCATATTCATCAGAGCAGGAGCCCTGAGCCAGGCTGCCCGGGGACGCAGTACCAGAGCAAGTGTAGCCGTGGGGGCCCCTCAGCGAGGGCCCACTCCCTGGAGAATGAAACTCCTGGCCACAGGCTTCACTTCTCAGACTGTCCCTGCTCCCTACACACATTTCCCCAAACTCAGAGACCTTCCAACCACAGGAGTGCAAGCCCCTTTATCAGCCAGGCACCCCCCGTTTCCCTAAGCATGCATGCATGACTCCTACCATGGTTTATTCAAACACTGAAATCGCTTTCCTGCTGGTCAGTGAGTGTAGACTACAAAGGGTCTTGGGGAGACCACAGATGGCCCCTCTTGGACTGTTTTCTCCCAGAGGGGGCGACAAACATTTCATCTTTAATAACCATGGTATTAGGAAATAGGAGAACCCAGCAGGGCGGGGGATATCCCTCTAGAATGATTACAAAGGTTGTTTTCTACTTTGTTTGCCAGCTCGTACCCAGTGAGAGAATGGCATATCCCTCTGAGCCAAGATGGTACAGCTGGACCATGAGGGCTCTGGCTGGTTTGTGAATAAGGATTTAAAAGCATGAACAAGGATTTTACAACAGACCTCCCCGAGTCAGGAAAATTACCCTCTTCCAGGACTTCCTCCGCGTAGCATCAAGGGGTTCTGGGGGGTAACCCAAAATTCGCCTTCCCTCCCTGAGTCTGAGTCACTGCCACCGGAACTCAGTCCCTGCAGAGGGGGCAGGTGGCCAGGCCTTTTCCCAGCTCCTGAGGTGTTGGGCTTCACTCCCATGGTAGCAATGACAGGAGCTGTGAAGCCAACACCAAGCACCTTCAAGTTCCCGTTCAGCCAATGTTGTGGCATTTAAGGGACAGGCCTGTGTCAGTGTGGATGTGGGGAAGAGTTGGGATCCACTGTGGGGTGGATGGGTGCCGGGACGTTTCCTGGTGAGCCTTCCTAGAAAAGGAGCACTAAGCTGGAGGAAAAGGCTGTTTTGACAAGAGTGTGGATATGACGGGTCACCGACCCTGAAACAAAACCAGAGATTTGTGGTGTGAGCTAAGAAATTTTGATACTAAAAAGAGCAGAAAGGGGAACTGCAGCCCTCCACGGTGCCAGTGGCCGCACACAGGCTGGCATGGGCCCCGTCGGCCTGGGTTAGAGGGCAGTGGTGAGTAGACCAGAATGGTCCCAGGAATTGTGCAGGGTAGGATAGACAGTGCAGAGGAGTGGGTGCCTGCCCTTCCCCAGCCAGAGGCCACTGGAGAGAGGAACGATCCCCACGATCATGCTGAGAGCTGTGGTGCTTTATTCCGTGCCATCAGATTGGTGGTGCCTCACAGGTACCCAGAACTGGCCAAAGGGCCAGGGACAGGGGCCGGAGCAATAGCATAGCGGGTAGGGCGTTTTTGCCTTGCACACGGCCAACCCGGGTTCGATCCCCAGCATCCCATATGGTCCCCTGAGCACTGCCAGGAGTAATTCCTTAGTGCAAAGCCAGGAGAAACCCCTGAGCATTGCTGGGTGTGACCCAAAAAGCAAAAAAAAAAAAAAAAAAAAGGTCAGGGACAGACACACTTCAACAGTAGATCTCCCTTCCATGGCCAAGGCACTGGGCTCTATGGCTGGCACCACCAAAGACACACCAGAACAACCCAGGTCAGAACAGGTGAAATGAAGCAGGCTCGAGCCCTGGTGTGAGCTAGTTAAGACAGCCCTGGCACAGGCCAGGGGAAGCCTCACTGAGGGGTGCTGTATCGCAGTGCAAGCTGCCTGCTTCTAAGTGTCACCCAATGCCCCGGGCTTCGACGCAGCCTCTGAGCAACTCCAAGGCTGCAGTCTAATATTTGACTCTAATAGAAGGAGCACTTGGGGGGAGGGGTGGCTGGAGGCAAAGCTGGAGGTGTGGGGAAGTTGCAGCCCAGTGAGTCCCCAGGAACTACTGACAAAGGGCACAGAGGTGCCTGTGTGTCTACAGAATACCAGCCCCAACGGATGAGGCCGGACCCAGTTTTGTGGCAGGCCCCAACAGAAAAGTGCAAATGGTTGGAAATTGTTTTTTGAAATGAATGAGGTATTCCTTTAAGGGAATACCCATCTCAAACATAACATTCCTCCTATCATGTGTTGTGCTGAATTCTGAATACTCGCCAGTTGCACTGACCGGTTTACACTCTATCTGAAGTCCGTGTTCTTTATGATTTTTCAGTGTGTCTAGAGTAGATGCAAGTTTGAGACTGATGCTTTAGCTGCATGGCGATGAAGCAGCAGGAATTTAGGGGGCAAAATAAACATTAGGAACTCCCAGGAGTGACATTTTAGTTTGGATGAAACCTCTATTGATTACGAGCAAGCCGGTACTTCCCACCCATCTTACGCTGTCGTGTCTCCTACCCTTCCCTGGAGAGTCTCCCATGCTGACCACACAGCAGAGAACTGGGCGTGCACTGCTGCACAGGGGCAGAGAGAAGACACAGTGGGTTCAGATGTTCCCAAGGACCCAAAGCGAGGGAAGGAACATCCAGCTCCATCAGGAGTGAGAGACAGTCACCCCAACCCATCCACCCTCCTGCTCTGATCCCAGCCACACGAATCCAGGACTTCTCATTCATTCAGGTCAGGGGTGGGACAAGCAAAAACATGGTAATAAAAATCAACTCAAGGGGGAAAGAAATAAGGAGCCCTAGAGAGTGGCTAGGGCCACAATGAAACTAAAAAGGCTCTGATCTTGCTCTCCTTACAAACAGCATGAGGTCACAAAGATCAGCAAACGGGGCCACTGCCAAAGAAAGGATAATCTGCTTGCACCGTGCACCAGCAATAGACCAAGTTTCCATCTAATGAAAAAAAATATAGGATTTCATAAGCTTCAAACAATCCAAGGGGAAGAGCTTTGAGGGCAAAAAATTCGAACAGACTATTCCATGACTTAGGTGTACATACCCTGCCAAGCCCCTAGCCTAAGAAAGACCTGCAGTGTATTGGGGTGAGGGGTGAGAGGGACTAGTATCCATCAATGGGACACCAGCACCCCTTGAGGACCACCTGGAATGACTGCACTTTGAACACTTGCAATTGGTGCTTCTGCTCATCACTGTGTCCTTCCTCTCACTCCCACTCATAGTGCAAGCACAGAGAGCGCTCCTGCACAACTAGGAGCTTTGGGCCTAGCGAAGCTTCAGAGCGACCCTCAGCCCACACCAATTAAAGCCATATGGCACCTAATGAACACTTTATTTTTTAAAAAGCTGTCCTGTCCTACAGAGCAGATGCTATTCAATACTGCAGAAAATGTATCAGCAGCTCCAGTCCTTTTCTGTACATGAAGCTACTAAAAGTGACATGGCCTCTGGGAAATCAGATCACTGACTGAATTTTCTTCACTGTGATGGGGGGAAAACCTCAAAAAATGTGTAGCAAAACAACATTTCCACATCTATGTAGGTCTCAGAATATTCTTGCAGTATGTAACATTCCACACCATTTCCTTATTTACAAAAACAGATTTTTAAGAAGCAGGAAGACACTAGTATCTTCCTAGATATTTTCTGCAGATACCAAGTGTTTTACTCCTGTGTTGTGATTCAGATTTTAATTCGTCATTAAAGCATGTTTCTATAGGTATTTGTATGATAATACTCTTGTGTTGGACCATTTTCCTGTTGTAGGAAAAAATAAACCTTGAATTTTATGTTATGAAAAGCAAATGTTCTTCAAATAATAAAAGGCTATCTCTGAACAAGTACTTGACCAGCATTCGAAACAAACTTTGAAAAAAGATGTCAACAACTTAAGATTACAAATTGGGCACCAAGCATTCAAAATTCAAGGTGACAAGCCTAACCCCAGTACAGAAGCCACAGTACGAGTCCTTGTCACCCTGTGGTCGGTCTCTATACAGTGTGGCTGCAGAGTCTCAAAATGTCACCATGGAACCTGAGTAAGAACCGAAGTGGGTGGGGATGGATTGAGTTGCGGGGGAGGGGTGTTCAAATCCCAAGTCCAGTTCAATCAAACGTGCTCTGCGTCTTTCTTTTATTAAGTCTGCTTCTTCAAATTGTCATCTGAAGAAATGATACCATTCACAATAAAAACCATCTCTTGCAACAGTCTGCTGATACTGAAGAGGTTCTCTGCATAGTCTTAAGCATTCAATCTCTGTGTAAACAAGTCGAGATTGCCACGGAACTTACACTACTTATTTAAAACCCCCTGTGCAGAGTATCTCCACAAACACCCTTTACTCCACAGGGGAATTCAGGGGCAAGTCAGCAGCTGACAAGTCCCAAGCCCAGCCTTCTCACGCAGTCAGCGTGGGGCCAGCAGTGCCTAACGCTTTGGCTATCCCTACTACTAGGGTTCTGTGAGTGCAATCAGAAAACGCTAGAGCTCAGTACCCTACAGAGATGACATCTGCAGTTTTAAGGAAACAAATCCAAGCCTAGCCCAGAAGTAAGAGCACAAATCCATCACATGAATGGAAGCCGGCTGTCAGTTGGCCGACCCCTGCTGGGTCTTAAGGGAAACCTGTCATTGGGGCCACCTCGTCCTGGCAAGATGGGGTTCGGTCCTGGAAAGGGGCCAGTTGGATCAAAACGTGGCCTGAGTGGGGGGAACTGACCTGGTGTCCCCCCGGGCCCAGGTATAAGTGAATTGATTGGGTCTCCGACATAGGGAAGCGTTAGTCTTTCATCATATTCACCACCAATGATTCCCGGAGGAAGAAGAGAGCTGGAGGGAAAAGGCCTGGAGTGCAAAGGATTGGGGTAGAATGGAATGGGGTGAGGGGGGGATGGCAGAAAGATCAGATGCCGTCCTCGCTGAGCTTCTTTCCTCTGTTTGTGTCGCTTCTTGTAGAGCTGCAGAAAAACAGAGACAAGGTACGGTAAGTGATTTGGAGGTTTTCCCAGAGTCTTCATTTATTTTCACTTTCCTTCCCCCTTACTATCAAGGCAGACAAACCAGTTATCTAGAACAAAACTTTTCCTAGTCTCAACCTGCATGAATAAGGCAGCAGGCTCTGATACACTGCCAAGTGAACCCTACTTTTAACCTCCCTGCAATGGAGCAGTCATGCTAATGTGAACTAACAATAAGTCTAAAGGAGGAATAGCTGTGTGAGATGTCCTCTCCATATTGTAATCAATCTATAGCTCTTAAACTAGAATGCAGTATTAAACCTTTTTTTGAAAGTGGACTATTATAGTATGTTTTCTGCATCACACCATAAAATATAAAGCTAAGGGAGGCATGAGGAAAGCATACCTCCATATTTTTACCTAAAATTTTGTCCATAACAGATCTCAATTGAAATATTGCTCGAGCGGGCCCAGTAACGTGTCCATTGGACACTTTGTTGTTACTGTGTTTGGCATATCGAATATGTCACGGGGAGCTTGCTCTCGGTAGCTTGCCGGGCTCTCCGAGAGGGGCGGAGGAATCGAACTCGGGTTGGCCATGTTGGCTGCGTGCAAGGCAAACGCCCTACCGCTGTGCTGCAGCAAGAAAGATGTTTATTTTAGCAGATGGGACATAAAGAATAATGCTGTGTACTTTGTTTCCTTGGGTATACCAATGTCTTTTATAGTAGTCACCTGTAAATTTTAAAAGATATATTCATTTCATAATGCACTAAAATCTAACTAAGGACTATTCTAGTACAAAGAGAACTCAAGTTAATTTTTTTTTGTTCAGCTGGGGTTAGATCTGCCTCGCACATCTGTGAGGCCTTAGGTTCGATGGCCAGTACCACCAGGAAAAAAATCAACTGCCAACACAAGAATGGGGGGAAATCTTTTCTATTAAGAAAAAATAAAACAAGAATCATTGAAAACTAGTAATAAATTTAACACACTGACGCTGGTGCTGATTCTGGTTAATGAAAACATATTCAAGTGTGAGTTACCAGCAGGATCAACAGTCTCTTACCACGTTATGATAAATGTACAAAGACGTCCTTCATGTATTGATCCACTAGCGATCCCTGTACTATGAATATTAGCCTTGGTATTTAAAAGCACATACCTCTTTCCAATCCGCATCTCGAGCTCTGACGGTACTGTCTGCAAAAGAAAACAAGGAACAAGGAATTTAAGCAGCTGGCTACTTCTTAGTACCTGCAGTGAGAAACGAGCACTCCCACATTTAGCACTGAAGGATGGGAACTGCATGACCAACACACACTGTGCTCCCTGCACCTTCCTGTAGCTAATGCAAGTCCCCTCTTTGGAGTAAGAGCAGCAGCAGTGCTGCCCTGTGCAGCTGGTTATGTCAACCTCCACCCCAGGTGCTCATAGATGTGCGGTTTACTTGGCTGTCCCCCTGCTGTGCTAACTCACTGCCTCCCCGCATCAGCTGCTCCTCAGCTCATCTAGGTGTGTCCACCACTTCTAACCCCACGCCTCTTGTCACGCTAACCCGAGTGACAACCTCTGAGTGTCTGTATTATCATTCATGATTATTACAAGAGGGAAAAGCTAACGAGTTTTTTCTGTATATAAGTTACTGACTCCCAACCCTATTCAATATGATTCAACTTCAAAAGTACAGTCATGTTTTAATACAGTTTTTTCCAAAAGAAGTATATAAGACAACAGGATCAAAGAATTGGATAGAAGACAGTGAAGTTGTCTGTGCAAGCTATTACACCGGCACCGAAGGGAGACATAAATGCTCGAGCTCCTTGGGGGCCAGAGAGACAGTATAGTTGGAAAGTACTTGTCTTGCATATGGGTGACTGAAGTTTGATCCTTGACACCACCCATGGTCCCCTGAATCTTGCCAAAATGACCCTTGAGCATTACCACGTGTGGCCCAAAATTTTGTAAATTAAAATAAAAAAAAGCTTAAGCCCCTTAACAAGTATAAAAAATTTATTATAAAATGAATTTTATAAAATCTGAACTTACGTGGAGCTGGAGATAGTATAAGGGTTAAGGCATTTGCCTTGCACATGCCTGCCCTGGTTTGATTCCCAACACACTTATGATCTCCAAGCACCTCCAGGAATGATCCCTGAGCACAGGGCCACTAGAACAAAGACCTCAGGATTCACGAAGGAACTTGAATAAATGATGTCACATAATTCTTACATTGTGAAAAATTTGGGGTGGGAGTTGGGGATGGGATTGGCCACAACCGGTGGTGCTCAGGACTTATTTCTGGCTCTGTGCTCAGGATTGAGCCCTGCTGATTGTCAGGGGACCACATGTGGGGCCAGGGATTTGAAATAAGATAGGCTGTGTGCAAGGCAAGCAGCTTTACCTCCAGTACTATCTCTCCGGCTCTACATTTTGAAATTTAAAAAAAAAAAAAAGTTATTTCATAATCCAAGTAACTCTGCACGACACTTTACCCAAAAAATGTGGGAAAAACCCCACCGGTTAGATTATATAGTTGCTATAGTGACAGAAGTTTGAACAACAGACAAAGCCTACAACTGAAAACTTGGATAAGCGTCAGAGTTCAGTATCCCGACACGCTCTCAGGGAGCTCACCTCGGAAATCCCGCAGATACAAGCACCTCCAAAGGAGCTGGTCATTGGATGCAATGTAGAGATCGTGGCAAACTGCAGACAAAGACAGAACAGAGCGAACATCCAGAAGTCGAAATATCCGTAGTTTCAGCTCCAGTGGAAGGACCAGCAGCCCAAATACATCCGGTAGGCTCAGCGCTAATGGGGAGAGAAGAGAAGAAGCAACTGAATGCAGGGCAGCAGGACCACACACCTCCCGGGCGACACAGAGACAACCTGCAGACCATGTGCGTTAAAAGAAATTTCTGCAATGTTTTATTACAGCACAAGAGAAAGTTGGTTAATACAGAATTTTGAGTCCAAGACTGAAATATAATCAGAACTACTTCAAAGTTATTAACATGTATATTAACAAGTGCGTGCATGTGAAGGTCCAGGGTATCTACCATAGGAGTTAAATAATGGGGGGAAAGGTTGTTGTTTCAGGGACCACACTCGGAAGTACTCAGCGATTGCTCTTGGTTCTGCATTCAAAGAACCCCAGAGGACCATATGGGGTTCTGGAGACTGAATCTGGGTCAGCAAAGTGCAAGGCTAGTGCCTTACTTGCTGTAACCTCTCTCTCTGGCCAATATGTATATTTTTTAATTTAAAAATGACAGACGACAGATATTTATTGTGGTAAATCACAGGAACACAAAACACAGACACAATTCTCACTTTCAAGATATTTATAACCTCAGTGGAACTGGAAAAAGGACGACAATCAAGATTATGTACATGATGCTGTAGAAATACAAAAAGGAAGCAAGTAACACCTATTTGTTACTGATTTGGAGCCATCCCCAGTGATGCTCAGGGCTTACTCCTGGCTCTGTGCTTAGGGAGACGGGAACTCAAACACTAGCAGGCCATGTGAAAAGCAAGCGCCTTACCAGCTGTATACTCTCTTTCTCTTCCCAGCAAATAACATTTAAACTAACAGCTAAGCTTAGTCTTAGAATAATGAACTTTCACCAAGAGAAAAGAGGAAGAAGTTTTACGTCACAGCAGAGTAAAAGCTCACTAAGAAGACATATTCTTTCTGGCCATTAGGCCTGTGATAACTTATGAAGGCTCACCTTGTCGGGTAAAAGCTAAAAGCGGATACACCAGTTGGTCTTTGAAGAGGCGAGAGAGCTTCTGAAGATCTTTGTATATCTTGGCTGCATTTTCCCCTAGAAAAATTTTTTATGAAAAATCAAAACACTGTATCAAGAGTGGAATAAACTTGTAATTCTGTCCTGTATTTCCACTGAACTAAACAGAGGCAGTAAAGGAATCTTCCCGACAAGTTCCTACATAGGTAGATTCAAAGTCTCCAGTAGAAGAGGAATATAGAGATTCAGAAAACTGAATGTTGGTTGCAAAGCTAAAATCCCATGACATCAAATTAACAGAGATATAACCAACCTATACATCTTAAGATGATCTTACAGTAAGAAAAACATGGTGTGGGACCTATACCTACAACAAAGATTTCTTGACAATCTACCAGTGTGTCTGGGCACTGCAACCAATAGGGCACATGTGAGAGTGGGATTAACAGAATGGCAACACTTTCATCACGTGATGATTATGCATCAACAGCAGGGTCAAATATTTTTCGATCTTTCCAGTCAGTTCTCCTCTAAGTATGAGATAACAGTTACTATCCTCACTTGAAACACAAGACAAAGTATAGAAAGTCTATCTGAGGGCTCAGAGTAAGTAGCAAAGCAAGGAACACAGGAGAGGGAGGGAGAGAGGGAGGGAGGGAGGGAGGGAAGGAAGGAGGGAGGGAGGGAGGAGGGAAGGAAAGAGTGTGGGAGAGGAAGGGAGGGAAGAGAGGGAAGGGGGAGGGAAAGAGTGTGGGAGAGGAAGGGAGGGAAGAGAGGGACAAAAGAAGGGGGAGGGAGGGAGGGGAAGGTAGAGAGGGAGGGAAGAGAGGAAAGGAAGCGAAGGAGGGAAGAAAAGAGGGAGGCAAGGAAGGAGGGAGGAAGGACAAACAAGAAAGATAAACTCTGCAACATTAATCTCAAAGAAACTTTCAATAAAGAATATTCTTTCATTATTTTTTTTAAACTGAACCTCTAAAAGTTTCATCCCATATGTTAAATTGTGGTTCGATTACCTGGTTCCTCTTTGCAAATAAAAGATTCTGGCAGCAGCTGCAATTTTTTCACACTTCTGATCTCAGAACTGATTTTCAATGTAGCTGTAAATGACCAAAAGAAAGATGATGAAACATTTTTTCACTTCATCAACTGCTTTCTTTATTCTTCTATGGGCTCAAATTTCCCTATCCCCAATGTACAAAGAACACATTATACAAAACCAACTGTTCTCTGGCTATTTCCTTCCCTCAGAGCAAAGTCCAAAGGGTAAACCTGCCATCACATGAAGTCATCTACAACACCACCATTAAAATCTACGCCTTCCTATAGTGTCCACGAAGTATTATCAACAGCAGTTAATTCGTGATTAAGTGATAAGCGACAAGGCTAAGAGGAGACAGTTGAACACAATAAAATCATTATTTTAGCAAGGTCACCAAAAACTCCATTTACTTTTAACTGAACCCTTGGCAATGAATCTTCCTTTGTTTATTAAAAAGAATCCTGTTAGTTTTCACAGCGTCATCTTCCTCTAGACCCAAAGGACCAATATTCTTGACATCACCAAAGGGTTCCATTTGAATCATGTATACAAAGGGGCACTTCATCTCCTTCCATGAAAGAGCCAGTGATGTGCTTATGCACATGTGCACGAGCAGGGTATCTTGGGTAAAGGCAAGGTTGAAGGACACACTGCTCCTTTTCAAAAACCTCACGCCTGCGATGGCCGTCTGCCATGCAAGTCTGCAAGGAGCTAGCTTGCCAAGAACAGGAAAGGAACAAAATATCAGGAACTAGGAAAATCAAAGAAACTAAGAAATCATCAAGACACTTAGCAGCTACTCTCTTTATATGCTGAAGAGCCTAAAACTAGTAAATAAAGGTTATCAAACACTTTTTTAAAATGCTTTCCTACAAAACCGCAGGCAAAAGTATAACCACACATTATTGGTTACTTGAACCTTGCAAAGTTATGACAAAGCAGAAAGATCAAATGAAGGTGAAACCACTGCCCCTCTACATGGAAGTTGCATTCACTCACTGATGAACCGAGGAGAAATGCCAGGGCCTAGTTACACCAGAAACTCATGACAGACAAATGTGAATGATCACCAAATCTGTTAAAACTAAAGCTTTGTTTTTTTTAAGTAACATTTCAAAGAATCTAGTGATTCCCCAAAAAAAGCAGAAATTACATAACAGGGTCCAGAACTATCTTTCATTTCAAAGAGTACTGTCTGTGACTTTCAAAGTAAACTTTAGTAAACACTTTTCAAACCAAATGCCGTAGGGGCCTCAAGAAACGAACAAAGCATATGCTGTCAATGTGTAAGTGGAGTGTTGGGGGTGTGTACCAAGGCCCCAGAAACCAGCAGCTGTTGCCAACTGCGGAGCTCGGGCACATCAAAGTGACTGCCTTTGCAACAGGAAAATGCCCTACTGAAAACCAAAGTCATTCCAATCTTACAGACTGTCTCAGCTAGCGAAGAGAACAGAACCTAAAAAATCAACAGAAAATCGAAGCTCCGAGTCGTGCAAACAACTCTCCTGTTACAGGACTACTCCAGAGACCACATGGAGCCAGAACGGCTGGCCAGGTGGCTGCTGAGCTGAAGTGAAACACCGTCATGACAGATGCTATTGTGCTGCCAGTGAAATTTCTAAATATAAAAGAGAAGAATTTAAAAAATTATTCAGGGGCTGGAGATATAGCACAGCGGGTAGGGCGTTTGCCTTGCACGCGACCCGGGGTTCGATTCCCAGCATCCCATATGGTCCCCTGAGCACCGCCATGAGTAACTCCTGAGTGCAGAGCCAGGAGTAACCCCTGTGCATTGCCAGGTATGACCCAAAAAGAAAAAATAAATAAATAAAAATAAAAAATAAAAAAGTGTTCAGAGTGACTAAGGGTGGGAAATAAAAATCATACCAAGGCCTCCAGAGCCTTAGCTCTGTCTCTTGGCGTGAGAGTTAAGAGATGCCAAACTGTAAAAACATCTCACTTCTTCCCATCTCTCAGCTCGAGACCCTGGTTAAGAGACATATAAAGAAAGAAAAAAGGTCACAAGTGGTAAAGTCTTTTCACTTCTATCACAACTCAGACCTTGTTCTATAATCTTTCAGACTCGTGTTATCAGTGGCCAAAGGACAAAAAAATGAAAGACAGATCCTAGCTCTCTCGGCAGCCATCAGGAAGCGGCCGCAGGACACTGGGGAGAAACGCAGGCACGGCCGCACCTTACAGCCTTACCGTTGACGACCATCAGGGCTCCCAGAGGCACACAGGTAAGCACTGCGGTGCCACCCTCGCAGAGAGGGTGCGAGTACTGCAGCTTATACACACCGCCTGACTTCCAAGTCTCGGGCATGGATACAACTTTGGTTTCAGATCCCTAGCAAGAGAAAGCAAAAGATGACAATGATGAAGAAAGGTGTTACTTTTCCAAAACCTTCAAAATGCCAACGGTCCCTGACTTGTGTAGAAAGGACAAGTCCATCTGGCCCCCTTAATAGAACAGGTGAGGTCATGACACTGATAATCAGAAATCATCATTCTGGCCAAGAACTGTGTGCTGAAAGAAGGGAAAGGGACAAACATGATAACTTTCAGTACCTGTAGTGCAAACCAGCATGTCCCAAAGGAAAGTGAGAGGGAGCAAGAGAGGTGGGAGAGAAGAACAGTGTCCGCCGCAGAGGAAGGCTTGGGAGGGGGCGAGGGTTGGCGGGAGGGAAACTGGGGACATGGTAGTGAGATATACGCACTGGTGAAGGGACGGGTGTTGGAACCTTGCATAACTGAAACTCAAACATGAACAACTTTGTGACTGTGAATCTCACGGTGATTCAATTAAAAAAAAAATAAAGAATAAGAAATAAAACCAGTGGTCATTAACACTGCTAGTAATGTCAACAGAAAGATGTTACATTACATCCTCACTGACTCTGGCCAACTAAACCATATTATTCAAGACCTGCTCAAATCCTTTTCGATATTCTCCCTTGCTTTTCTCCCCTAACATTCTGTGCGTGTTTCTATGGTGATATCTATAATGGTATGTATCATAAGATGGTAACTGTGCTTTTGTTTCTCTGCCCACTTACAGAATCTGTAAGGACCCGTGCCCAGGACACTGCATTGCAGACACCTGAGAATCACCGTGTTTCCCAGGGTGGTGAGACTGCCCCCTGGGGGTGCTGGAAGGATCCAGGGATGCAACTGGGTGGAGAGGGAATGAAGAGGTACTTTCTATTTTGTTCTGTTTAAAGGTGGCACACTGGGAGGTGGGGCGGGGGAGTTGACTGGTTCTTTTATTCTAAGAAGGGGCTGGTGAGCAAATATATTTGGGAAGTTCTATCAGGGCTTCTGAAAACTTTTTCCATTTACAACCTTTTTTCCCTAGAAAAAAATTGTATGCTATATGCTATACCTATTATATATAAACCAAAGACTTACTGATGGCAAATCGTAAATTAAAAAAAAAAATTCACAAAGCCCACACAGAGTGATAACCCAGGGACTAGGCTAGGGTCCAAAGAGAGGCTCTGCGGGCTGAGTGACCCTGCCATCACATGATCCACAGGTCGGAATAGCCCCCAGCCCAAGTATCACCAGGTTATGGTCCAAAAAACAAACACAGAAAAGCAATGAGGCTCTCCCGCTTGGTTCCCTAGCACCTGGCCCAGCAGCTCTATGGGAGGAAGCACGATTCTCACGCACATTCACGTTCAAGAATCTCTAACTGTTCCCTGTGAGTTTCTGGCATACGGCATCTAAGGCTCTCCTAAAATTTCACCATTACAGTACAGTGGTTTGTCCATTGGTTCCCGTGCCTTTGGACTAGAAGAGCCTGAGCATGGAGAACGGCGTTACACCTGCAACAAGCAGCTACTGCTCAAGGGGATGCTGAGTGGAAGGAAACAACTACAGCAAACAATGTCACTCTCCAACTTCAGTAATGTTTTGCTCTCAATTCATACAACCACTAGCGTAAAAAAATAATCTAGTGAGGTGCTGGCAAGATAGCAAAGAGGGTTAAGTGACTGCACTGGCCCTGTGTGTAGTGGTCCCTGAGTGCAGAGCCAGGAAGAAGACATGAACACTGCCAGGTGTGGCCCCTAAAGCAAAAAAGTTAAAAATAAAGAACCTAGTGAGGTCTGCCATGCCCAACCCACAACTGCTGCCCTCCTCCTGGTCTCTGTATTATCACACGTGGCCTTCTGTCTTTTCTAACTCAAGCTGTCATCACTTCTGTAATAGTACGTTTAAAACTGATAAAAAGAAGGCTGGGATGTGGCTCAAATGCCCTGCACATGCCAGACCCCAGACGGTTCCCCAGTCATCCTGGAACGGCCCTGCCCCCACCACAGAGCATAGTCAGCTGTGACCTCCGCAACAGCAACCACACACACACACAAACAGGCTCAGGAAATGAAGGTGAAGAAAAAGACCTGGAAAGAGAGGAGTAACTACTGACTGCCCACAGTGCATCCACCACTGTATACAGCAACTGACACCCATCCAACCACAGCTGACCAAGACTCGGAAATATCATCCACCCCTTTCTGATATACCCTCTTTCCCTCCCGAGTGCTGACCTGAGGTTTGTAGCCCGACTCAAGCATGAGGAGATGTATCAACACTATCAAGGCATCGTTGGCGTCGGCACAGTCGGCTGACTGATACAGGAGCTCGAGAGAATGGGGCACCTGCCCTTCCACCGACTCACTGCACAGCATTGGTTCTGAGGGACAGAAACCTGGAGCGCCCTCTTCCATATCCACAACATCCGAAATCGACTCCGCTTCCAAAGTCTGACTAGGTCCCGACTGAAAGAAACAACAAAAATAAATGCAGGAGCAAGAGACAATATAGGGGTTAAGGCCTTGCATGTGGCCAACCCTTGTTCCATCCCCAGCACCACCAGGAGTGATCCCTAAGCACAGAGCCAGGAGTGTAAGCCCTAAGCACAGACAGGTGTGGTTCCCTAAACAAAACAAAGGAAGGTGGGATGGGGTGGGGGGGAGACAATAAGACAAAAATAACTAGGCATTTATTTTTACACAGACTGTATCCTTCAAATGAACTGAGTTGGCTAGGTTCAGTCATCTAGTCTGAACTGGGTTCAAACCACCTGTCTGGGTTCAGAAATAAGACATATTTTATTAAGCGCAATATCCTAGAAAAATTCTGCTCCTCCATCTTGAGTTTCTTATCTCTATTAAGTCTGGCTAACATGGAGAAAACCTGGAGATCAGCCTTGTCTTTTCCATCTACTTAAGAAACGCCACAGATCCCTTAAAGATCTCCATGTTTATGCCCCTGGCACTTCAGACCCTCTGTCCCCTCACTTCTGACTATAGTCTCCCACTCCACGTTCTTCTCCTGGCCATTCCCAAACCCTGCCGCCAGTTTTCTGACAAGATTCCAACTATGGGGATACAGAGGTGGCTTAAACGGTTTGCCTGTGTGTATCAGGACTGAGTTCAATTCCCAGTACTACCTCGCGCTACCTTCCACCAGCATCATGGGGCCTGAGACCCCGAGCTGTGCCCCCTCAAACAAAACAAACAAATCCAATTATGTCCTAGGTCCCAGCCTGAAAGTTGCTAGTGTCCCCCCAGCACAGTTGGCAGCATTTCCTTCAGCTGGGTCCTAGAATGTAACTAAGGCATCTTTTGGGGGAAAAAGGTCTACAATGAAGTAAATCAAGAAAATGCTACGAGCTATTGCTACCTCACTCTCCATATTCACAAATTACTGGCATCCTAAGGTCTGAGAAGTCCAGTAATGTTACTTAATAAGAACTATCATCCTTTCTCAGAGCATCCTTAGAATACCAGGCACTTCATGAAACTAGTTATTCATAGAGGACATGCAATGAAATGCAGGCCTGCAAAATTAATTCCAAACTCCTAAACTCCTCAGCATACGAGGTCCGTCAGCAACTGGTCCCTGCTGTGCTCAGTTCCCTTTCTGCCATTCTGTCCTCCGCACTACACCAGCAGAAGCAGTACAGACCATAACTCTGCCCTGCAGAGCCTTGAATGTGTCACAACAGGCAGTGGGGGGCAACTGGGGAGGCCCTGTCGCAGGTTAGGAATGTGCTCTACCACTTACTATCGAGTCTTACTCCCTGCCCAGGTTGCCTCTCTTTAAGTCCACTTATTATTTCCACTCAAAGGGCAGAGCAAATTAAAATTATGTAGCATGAATGAAAGGAAATTAAAATAAAAGGAATAAAAGGACAGAATAAAAGGACAGAAGCATGTAAAGAAGCAAAACTCCTGGAGACATGACCTCTAGTGGATTTCAGAAAAGACCCAAAATCACCAGTTAAAACTGTGAGGCCAAAGACAATTCATGCTACCAAAAAGGGGCTCCATCAAATTCTTGAGCAAATATCTAGTTCAACTAAGTACACAGGCTCCTTGCTTCTAATGCATCTATTATGTCTTACTTTGGCGTTTTATTGTTTACTGACAATTGTGTGGCAGAGAATACATGGAAAAACTATTTTAAAGGGTTCCCCTAACCAATGATATGGGCCAGAGCTATCAGAATCACCTCCAGTGTTTGCCAACTGTTACTCCCAACTTCATGAGGACATCCTCTGAGCCCTCCTGATAAGACAAGAGCAGTTATCAGCCCGCATGCATGCGAACATTTTAAAAAATGCTCCAGATCACATCTCTAAATAAATATGTCATTTGTGTTAGCCATTGCAGACTCAACAAATACTAAATGAAGTCCCAACTACAATGAAGTAATAAAAGTAATTTATATATAGGGACAAGAGTAAAATTTTCCTATCAATTCACTTTACCCAACTATTTTTCCCTTAATGCTGCACACCACGCTTAGTTAGCAAAGCAAAAAGTAATTGTTTCAAGTATTTGAACTATTTCAAGTATTTGTGAAATGACAAGCTCCGTTTCCACAATAAGATTTTAGCCATCCTATACAGATCTCAATACAAAACAAGCTTTCAGAACTGGAATGACTAACTTAAGACAACAAATATTTCTCAAAATTTTCAAAAAGTAGCTAGCAATTACCAACTGATACTGTGAGACTTTCATCTTACTGGACAAATTGGGAGTTCTTTAGGTTTTTGGTTTTTGTTTTTGGGGTGACATCTGGCAGGGGTCAGGGCTTATTCCTGGCTCTGCACTCAGTAATCAGTCCTGCCGGTGCTTGGGGGGACCATTTGGGATGTCAGGGATCGAACTTCCCTGCAGAGTGCAAGGCAAGCAAAGGAGGAAAGCAACTGCACCTATTTTCAAATTTTGTATTGCCACACAGAATCTGAGATGACAGTTTGAAAAAAAAGATGCAAGTAAATATCCTGCAGATCATCTGGAAATAGCTAGATACCAGCCTTACTAGATGGAACAAAGCTTACAAAGGTGTAACCCAAAGAAGCAAAGCTGGGAATCCTGAGAACAGTGGCAACTACAGAAATCAAGGAGTGACTGGGAAAACAGGCTCTTCAGAATGTCCACTCATTGCTGCTCCAGACAATTTAGCAGTTTTTAAAACAAGAAACAAAAGTTTTGGCAGCAAATGTACACTGATGAAGGGACTGGTGCTGGAGTATTGTATGACTGAAACTCAATCATGAACAAGTTTGTAACTGTACACCTAACGGGGATTCAACAAAAAAAATTTAAAAATAATTTTTTAAAGAAAAAAAATTAAAGCTACGGAGACAGCTCAATGCAAAGTAACATAAACCTGGGCACATACCCTGACCAATGGCCAGGCCTATATCACCAGCCTATTGGTACTGGCTGGAGATGTCCAAAGGCTCTGGAGCACAACTGGGAGGGCCCCAAAAAGGTTAAACTGATTTTTTTTTAATGTGTTTAATTCTAGATGAATATAAAGTGCAGTCTACTGATGCACGCATATCCTAAGTGCTACAGAATCGTAGTGGATATGGAGGGAGACTGAACAAGGACCCCCTTTCCTGCCATGATCCTCACCACTTACCATGCTGTCATCACTCCTGACATCGGCCTGGGCTGCCGTTTCCTGCACTGAACCACTCAGCTCTTCGTTCTGTGTGCTGGACTGATGGGAGCTGGCGGCCAGAGAGGGTTGGTCATTATCCTGGAGTGAGGAATGCTCTGAATCTGTGGATGAAGGTAAATTAGGTGCTGGAATGGCATCTTCAAGAATCAAACATATCAAGTCCCCAGAAACAATCCCATATGAAGCCAGGGTCTCTTCATCTCCAGTGAGGGCATCCTTGTTGTTCAATGTAATTGCAAACCGGGCATCGGAACTGCCAAGAAAGACGGATAAGAATAGTAAGAGCTACCTGTCTCCATTCCCCTCAATAATACATTTGGAACACAGATAAGGCACATGATACAACCCCCAAAGAACATAGCCACGAGAAAAAAAAACAGTTCTTTGGGGGAGACTTTCAAAATTATTCATCATCAAATGCATAGATTATAGATTTCTAATAGTCAAAATTCTGGAGACAGTAATTCCCTACAATTAATTTATGCTTTCCACAGTTTTAAGATGCACCTTCAACAGTTCTAAAATATACATTTCATGTATTTTGACATCTTTGAAATAGAAATGCTCTTTAAAATCCAAAGCATATCAGTTAAATAGCATTTTTCTCTTTAGTATGACAGAATACTATGCATCATCTTACGGCAGTAACACATTCAACAAATCTTTTTAAAAATAGCAATTCTACCAATGGTACGTCAGTCAAACAGCAATTTTTCCCTTTAGTATTATAGAAAACTGTGCACCTATTTTAAGGCAGTAACAGATTCAACAACTCTTTTCAAAATGTAAATTCTATGACGAATCATTCCTCTGCTGAAAATCCTCCAGTGATTTATCTGAACTCAGAACAGACTCTAACATGCCCTGCAATCCTGACATCTGAGCTCTACGCACGCTGTTCCTACTGTACCTCCTGCCCCCTTACTTGCTATTGTCTAGATCAGCAGTCTCCAACCGCTGCTCTACTGCTTTATTCCATTCTCATGTTTTGTTTCGGGCTTGGGGGCCAGACCCAGACATGCTCAGGGTTTCCTGCTGGCTCTGTACTGAGGCATCAGTCCTGGCAGTGCTCAGGGGGGCATATGTGGAAAAGCGGATCAAACCCTGATGGGCCACATGCAAGGCAAGCGCCCTCCCAACACATCTGATGTTGCACTGTCTCTCTTCCCGGCCCCAACAAACTTAAGGTTCATAAAACCAGGTACTGTTAGGAGAGACTGAATAGAAATTAAGGCACTTTCTTTGCATGCAGCCTTCCCTTGTTCAAATCCTGGGCAACCCCTGTGGTCCCAAATAGCTCCTGAGCAACACTAGCTTGGCACAAAAGCAAAAACAATTAAAAAAAAAATCCACCTCAGGAATTTTTGTCTACTGAATTCAAAACTGTACCTCCAGTCATTGACAGAAAGTATCTGTGGAAAATGCACCTAAGTAAACAGTAACTGGGAGTTTCAAAACGAAGCAGAAATCAGGGCTACTATCCAATGTCGCTATTGGGCAGTAAGCCTGTGTTTATTCTGCAATACTGACCCAAGTTCCAAATGAGCCACCATCATCAGTTAGACAAATGCATGGAGGTGCCTGAGTATACAATTCATCCTTCCTATTGGTAAGAACAAGTTCACACTTGTCAACTGAGACCAGTTATGATGCCTTCTAATGGAAAAAAGCACAAATTCAAAACCAATCCTCCTATACAAGCCAAGAGCTCAAGTGAATCTAAAGCGATGAGCTTTTCTGCACCACAGACCTTGGGTGGTGACTCTCCAAAATGACTTTGGGGGAATCATCATTTCGTCAAAAAGAGGTGGAGTGATTAACAACAACTACGTGAGAAAACTTTTACATGACATTTACACTCAGCAATGCTGATTTCATCAGATTTTTTGAGACGTTAGCCACATCCTTCGAAAATTATATTTTGTTTACTCTTTCTTAAAATGCCACATTTTCAAAAGATCCAAGTCATTTGTTTTCCCTCCCATATGTACATGCATTGTTTTTCTTATCAATTAAACCTTCTTTGGTAGAGAAATTACTACTGCTTATTAGAAAATTAGAGGTTATGCTTTAATTTTACAGATGCTATGAATGAATACAATGTTGAAATTCTGCAGCAAACCCAGAAAACCACCACCCAACACTGGCAGAAAAGAAGAAAATATCTCCAACGAACTACACATGTATCTTTTTTTTAACAGTATAATAAAATCCACTCAAATATCTATTTGTAGAATGTAGAAAAGATTTAGGTACCTTCTTAAATAAAACAAAACAAAAAAACCCAAAGTATTCCATACCCCTTTAAAAAAGGGGAAGAGTTATTTCTAAAGCTGCTCGTGGGCTTTCTATGAGGATTTTTTTTTTAAATGACTGTTTTCTGAAACTCTTGGAGGTGGAGGAGAGGTGGGGGGAATGGACACTTCAAGTTCATAAAGAAAGGCCACCTTGGAAATCTGGGCTTTTCAAAAAGCTGTGGCTCTTCAGATCCACCTGCTCAGTAAAGACACTTTAAAAGTAACAAAGCTGTAAGGACTCATCTTAAACAACCATACATTATACCCTCAGTAGAACTTGTTTCCTTCTCCAAAGGCGAAAGTAACATTCCTGTCAGTAAATGAGCCTCAACTGCAAAAACAAGCCTGAAAGAGAAACTATGGGCTCTTGGGTGAATCGTCTGAGCTTTCCATCCTTTGAAGACTAGCCTATCTAATGAAAAATGTCCGTTATTTCATTTTCCATACATAACCCCACACTGAGAACACCTTCAGAAGACGAGCTCATTTCCAGCACATTCTCCAACCTGGAAATCCGTGGGCATGTCAACGTCAGACGCAAATGGTTGGCTTCCTCCCCTCTGGAAAACGTCCTGTCACTCTCAAAAGTGCATCTATCTCTCCTCATCTATCTCCCTTTACCCTCCCTCTCCCCCCCAGCCAATATTTCTTCTAACAAAACCATTTTACTTTTTTTTTTGGGGGGGGATTAGATTAATTTTAATTTTCAAAATTCATTTTAGGGCATGACTAGGACTAAACGAGCAAAAAAAAAAAAACACTTAAGGTTTTACACCAAGAAATAACAGTCCTAGAATCTTGAAAAGGAGTTAAATCAAGATCTTATTTTTTTTTTATTTGTAAAGGGGGTTAGGGCATTAAAAAAACAAACCAGAAAAAACGGCTTCATATCAGAACATGAGGGAATCAAAAGTTCACAGGACAGAGGTCCTTTTGCTGAATTCCCTACAAACTGAATGCAAGTTTCTGAAAGGCTTTAGCAACCTAAGTCCTTGATACATAAATTTTCATCCTTGATGTCTCCTGAAAAGTAGTCTCCCAAATCTGCTAGTTCGGTGTTTGAAGAGCACTGCGCCCCCTTGGGAACCCCGCTACCCCCAGGACCCCCAAAACTCTCCAAAAATACCCCGGGGGAGACAAAGTGACCGCAAAGGTGGCACCTGAAGCTCCTTTTCCCTGCGTCCCTCCCCTCCGGGCCCCCCAAAACTGCCAGCTCTCCGGGGTCATCACTGCAGCCAATGTTCACCTCTGTTTTAGCAAAAGGTGCAGGGGAGCAACATCTCACCCGGAGGGAATTATTAAATAATTAGAAACGCCCCCACCCCAACATCCCACTCGGACATGGCAAAAATCCCTGCAGTGCGTGAGCCCAGGCGCCCCCTACCCCAACACCAGGCAGAGTTGACCTCAGTGACCTCAGCCTCTCAAAGGTGGTGCATACACAGGTGGCCCCCGGGGATGGGCCCAACTCCTAACTTTCTAGAACTTTCCCAGCGGGGTCACAGCAATACATGGGCAGTCCAGGAAGGGGAGCTTACACACACACACACACACACACACACACACACACACACACTGGCACCCCTTCTATCGCCAGGACCCGGGCTTGGCTTCACCCCCCACTCGGGTTTGACGTCCCAACTCCTAATTCCATTCTAGAAGTTTCCAACCGGGTGACAGCAATACATGGACAACGGGGAGCTTTACACACATGCACACCTTCCACCGCCAAGACCCTGGTTCGGCATGTCACCCCCCACACACACCGCACCCCCACTCGGGTTTGACATCCCAAATCCTAACTCCCTTCTAGAACTTTCCCAACTTGGTCAGGGCAATAGACAGGCTGGGGAGAGGAAAGGGGGTCTTTTTACACACACACACACACACACACACACACACACACCCCTCTTCCGACACGGCAATGCGTAGGCAAACGGGACGGGGGGAGAGGGGGCTTCACTCACTCACTCACCCCTTCCGTCGCCAGGAGACACACACACACGGGGGGGGGGCTTCACAAACACAAACACACACCCCCCTTCCGTCGCCAGGACACACACACACGCACACACGCAAGCACACAGCCCCCTTGGGTCGCCAGGACCCTGGCCGGCGTCCCCCCACTCGGGTCCGACGTCCCTCGCCCGTGCCTGGTGGCGGGAAGGGGAAAGGGGACGGAGGCGGGGGGGGGGGGGGGGGGGGCGGAAGCGACGGCTCACCCTGGACGGGAACGGGGTCCCCGGGACGCCGGGCCATGGTCTCCGCGAGCCCGGCCCCAGCCCCAGCCCCCGCCCCGACCCGCCCCGACCCGCGGCGGCCCCTCGCCGCCCCCTCGCCCACGTCACAGACCCGCGGGCCGCGGGGCCGCCACCTCGCTCACGTGACCGCCGGGCGCGCCCGCGCCGCCGCCGCCGCCGCCTCACCTGAAGCCCCAGCTGGGCAACAGGGCCCCGCTCAGGCGCGCGCGCAGCTGCCCCAACGTCGGCTCCGCTTCGGGCAGCTCCAGCGGCCCGGTCCGCTTCTGGAGCCGAACCCGCAGCCTCATGGCGGCGCCGGACGCTCCACCCCGCTGCCGAGAGCGCCCCCTGGAGCTCGCCACGACGGCGGGCGGCAGGAGTCGGCGCTGGCGCCGGCGCCGCGGGACTCGCGCTCGAGGACTCGGCGCGCGGCTGTGCCGCCTGAGACGCATGCGCAGACGCCGCGCCCGCCCCGGGGCCGTCGCGGGCTGGTGGCGCTCGGTTGCGCCCCGTTACCCCCGCCGCCTTTCTGGAAACCGGCCGTGCTTAGGGCGAAGGTGCTGCAGGCTAAACGATTACCCGTGCCTCTGAGGCCCGGTTCGCCCTTTGACCCCCACCCCCCCCCACCCCATTGCCTCCTGGGCGTCCTGTCGTGCCCCCTTAACACTGCTTTGGATGGAAATAGGAGCAATCCGGGAGCATGTTAGTGAGGCGGTGCTGCATCCCAGAGTTTAGCAGCTTCAGACAACATGATTCCCAAGGGCCAGGACTGTTGCTCCATAGTTGGAAGCCTGCCTCATGAGCTGGGGGGAGAAGGCAGCTGGACTAGAGAAGGGATCCTTCTAGTGGTTGGAAGGATCGCTCCAGCTGAGAGAGGTGTGCTAAAAGTAGATGAAGCACTAAACTGATAGCCTATCAGTATCTATTTTGCAAACCATGATGCCAAAAAAAGTAGAGAGTATGGGGGAAATTGTCTGCCATAGAGACAGCGGGAGGGATGAGATGGGGGAATACTGGGGACATTGGTGGTGGAAAATGTGCACTGATGGTCTATCATTGTATGACTGAAACTCAAACACGAAAACTTTGTAACTATCTCAATTCAATTTTTTAAAAAAAAGCGTTGTTCCACATGGTCCAGGATTTGATGATTGCCCAGGTGGTCCTGTCTGGTTCAGATCACAGACAACACGTATCTAGATTTCTGTTGAAGCTATCCAAACTTGACTCAGGCTCAAGAATCAGCCTCCAAAGGCTTCATTCACTCAGCAGATGACAGGACACACGTACACATCCTCCCTTATTCACATTGATCTACTTCCCATGTTGTGGCATGTAATTCTGCTGGGAGCAAGTGATTCCGAGGAAGATCCTGGCAGACGCCAAGATGTCTTTTATGATCTATGCCACAGAAGTCACGTCTTAACACTGGTGGAGGGGTCAGGCCAGGGCTATTGAGAACCAAGAGATCAGGAGAGATCGGAGGCTGTGTGGATAGTTGGCCACCATCGCAATTCTGACAAGGCAGATAACCTAAGGTTCCTGCAGAGAGAGTACCATCAGGTTCCATTCCTGTGATAGAGCCTTGTCTTGAAAATCATGAGTTGAATGAAGTTTCAGCCAGTAGGTGGCAGTACTTGTCCACATCGTGGTCGTCCTTAATAACTAAGCATCAGGTTTCTACTTTGCACCATATGTTATCCCAGCCTCTGGGGACTCAAAAGATTGAAAACATCTTGCTAGCCAAGAAGACATTAAGTTGTGGGAGGCAACTTTTGTAGGTAGCACCCTTAAGTGACTTCTTTATGGTTGAGATATAAACAGTACTGGGGTCAGGGTACTTGGTACAAGGGTTGTCATGCCAATAAGATTTTTTAGTGGCAAGGCTGGAGTGACAGCACAGCAGGTAGTGCATTTGCCTCGCACGCGGCCGACTCAGGTTTGATTCCCAGCATCCCTTATGGTCCCCCAAGCACCGCCAGGAGTAATTCCTGAGTGTGTGAGCGAGGAGTAACCCCTGTGCATTGCTGGGTGTGACCCAAAAAGAAAAAAAAAGGTTTTTTTAGTGGTAAGCACATGGGGTTGAGGTGAGGTGGCTGGGTGTGATCAGAGTGGAGGGCCAAGTAGGAGAATCTCAGCTCAAAATGAGCCTGTAGCAGACTGGAAAGAGGTCAGTAGGGTGCTTGCTTTGCATGTGGTCTACCAGAATTTGAAAATTGATGCCCCATGTGATCCCCCCAATCCCTGCAATGGGTGACCCCTGAGCACAGAGCCACTAAGCTCTGAGCACCAAAGAGCGTGGCCAAAACAAAAAAAACAAAACCAGAAAGAGCCTGGAGGACTGGGGAGATAGCTGTAAGGCAGATTACATGGTAGCATCAAGTTGGCTCCCCGGCACCTCAGAACCACAACTCACTGCTAGATGTGGCCCAGGTGGGCCCCAGCTCTGACAAGTGTGGGCCTTAATTTCTTTTTACGTATCAAGCTAAGATGTAAAGATTTGGGATACATTCTAGAATGTGAGCCGGGAGAGCATTTTAAACAGGGGCGTCCTTATCCATCTCCTTCATTCTGAGCAATGGAAGATGACTACTAAATAGGAAAGGATTGGGATTATTAGAGAGCCAGAGAAATCACTCCAAAAGACTGTGCATCTTTTGCAGGTTGGGATCCCAGGCTGGATCCCGGGCACTTAATGGTTCAGTCCCCCTGAGCACCTCTGGCAAGAACCCCAGGACTAGCCTGGCTCCAGGGATGGAGAGTGGTACAGCAGGTAGGGCACCTGCCTTGCATGTGGCCCACCCGGTTAGATCCCCGGTACCACATAAGGTTTCCCATTCACTGCCAGCAGTGAATGGGGAGCGTAAGAGCCGCAAGTTAAGCCCTGTGCGCGTGCGCTGCGGAGCGTAGCCCAAAATAGCAAAACAAAATGACAGCAGATGAAGGGGACGGGAGAGGTGGCTGCAGGCTAAGCTTCCAGGAATGAGGCTCAGAAGCACGCAGAACTGGCTGGGGAGGAAGCAGCGCTACCGGGGTTGCTGCTGCGCCCCACCCACCTTGGGAGCACCGCGCCCCGACGGCTCCAGGAACCCCTAGGGAACGGCTGCCCCCTGCAGGTACCATACGCTTGTTGCAGCCTCCAGCACCAGCAAAAACCAAGGTATCCAGAGAGCCAGATCCCTGTCCTCTGCCCTGGCAACTGCGGTGGAGGCTGGAATTCAGGGTCCCAACTCCTTCCTTCCAAAGCAAGCCTTGTGGGTTGCTTATCTGGGGATTCCCAGATAACAGAAGGCTGTTTCAAAGCTGATAGGAAGTCATGAGTCTTGAAGTTGATAGGAAGTCATGAGTGCACTGTAGCACTGACCTCTTGTTGTACATCGATTTGCTTGAGTGCAAAGCAAATGCCCTATCCACTGTGCTATCTCTCCAGCCCAAAGTGGAGTATAGATTAAATATAGATGAAATTAGGGTTCCCTTGGAACCGAAGAGATAATTTAGTGCATAGGGCGCTTGTCTTGTGTGCAGCCGATCTGGATTTGGTTTCTGAGCACCACGAGAAGTGATCCCTAAGCATTATGCCAGAGGTAAGCCTTGAAAACAGCCAGGTGCAGCCCAAAAACCAAAATAAATAAAAAATTAGAAGGGCCACAGGACTGACTCAGGTTTGATTCCCCAGCACCCAATATGGTCTCCCAAGCCCGCCAGGAGTAGTCTCTGAGCAAAGTCAGGAGTAAACCTTGGGTGCCACCACATGTGACCCAAAAGCCAAAACAGAAAAGGAAAAAAGAAAAGAAAAAAGAAATTAAGGTTTACTTGCCTCAGCATTATTGGCATTTGGGGGTCTCGTAGTTTTGTCTGTATAGAATTTCTCAAGGTTTTGTAGAATGTTTAGCCTCTTCTGTCCAGTAGACTACCACCATCACCACCAGCTATGAGACCTGGAGTTGTAACTTTGACCAAATATCCTCCAGGAGTTAAAATCATCTTAGAACCCATGAAATTGAACCTGAAGCTCATAAGGAAACTCTTGACAACCAAAAAATTATTAATGGGAGGACAGTGGCAATAGACAATGGGATCTCTAGGGGAAATGTTACAGAGGCAAATGTAGTAGAACTTGGAAGATGACTAAAATTGGAGGAGATTGCTTCAGCTGCCTTAACAGATATGAAATAATGAATTAAAGAGAACATTCTTAGAGATAGGAAGATTTTACAAAGGTTAAGGTGGTGGCCTTACACATGGCCAACAAGGTTCAATCTCTGGGTTTGATCCCAGCACTCCATATGGTTCTCTGAGCATAACAAGGAGTGATTTCTGAGTGCAGAGCCAGGAGAAAACCATATAGCTCACAGTTAGGGAAGAAAGAAAGAATGAGAGAAAGAAATAAAGAACAGAAAGGAAAGAAGGAAAGAAAGAAAGAAAGAAAGAAAGAAAGAAAGAAAGAGAGAGAGAGAGGAAGGAAGGAAGGAAGGAAGGAAGGAAGGAAGGAAGGAAGGAAGAGAAAGGAAGGAGGGAGGAAGGGAGGGAAGGAAAGAAAAAAAAGAGGAGAGGGGAGGAAGGGAAGGGAAGGAGGGAGGGAAAGAAGGAAGGAAGGGATAGAAGAAAGAAAGGGAGAGAAGGGAAGGAGAAAACTTAAGATAATAAGTCAGATCTTTTGTGACAAAAGTAAAACTTTCTTGTGCATGACCAGGTATTCTCAAAAATCAAAAACCTAAACAAATTCATCAAGTTTTGACAGAAAGATACTACTCACCGCCAATCCCAGTTCAATCCCAGAGCAGTACTGGGAGCAACCCCCAAGCCCAGGGCCAAGAATAGCCCTGGCCCGCCCCAGCAATGCGGAGTGACTCCAAAACCCCTAACTAGAGTTATCTGTTGCCCCTCGTGATCGCTGCCTTTATCCCATTCCAGACAGACTGACCCACGATTGCTCTGGCTTCCACATTTTTCCCTCAGAGCTTTGCTTGCATGAATGTCAGGTCCGTTTTGATGGGATGATCCGTGGTATGTACCACTTTACAAGGCAGAGACTTCCTGCTCCTTCCTAAGCAGGAAAGCCAGCCCCGACACCACTCCATTGTACTGTTTTGCCACTTACAAGGCCACTTCCTGGCCACAGGCCCTGATTTCCTTGACAGCCCACACAGCATTCTCTACATTTCTGTTTACGTAAACTCCAGCAGACAGGGATTCTGTCTTCGCTGAAGGGGACCTTATACCAGTGGGCGCCCAAGACTGTGTTGAGTTACCGATTCTTCTATGGGGACTGACAAGAAGTGATTCTCTAGGGACCACACGGATGAATGAGCACTAAGAGCACTGAGCACTTTTAAGAGCACAGAGGTGATTGTCAGGCTC